TTCGCCGAGAACCAGACGGAGAGCCGGCCCGAGGGCGGGGCCGGGACACTTCGAGGGCAGGGCAGCCGCCTCGGCCACGGGCCGCGCCCTGTGCGGCTGCGTCGTCTGCGCGCGCCTCCTGCTGGCTGGGGGAGCTCTTTGACGCAGCTTTGTTCGTGGAGCCAGCGGAGCCCGAGCCTGCAGCAGACGCCGGCGCCACCGTGGAAGACGCCGCGAGGGGCGGCGCGGGGGACGGGCCAGTGGGGGCGCCTGTCCTTCAGTTCAAGGAGCCTCCAGCGCTGCTTCCGGCAGAGGTCGCGGCCCCGCCGCGCCGGGCTCGCTTCGCCGTGCGCCCCGAGGCCACCGCGAGCGTCCACGCGCTTCTCGCCGTGGATCGCTACGCCGGGAGGTGGCCGCTCATCCCGCGGCACGAGCTGTGGGCTTCTAGCACGCCGCACCCGCACAAGCCCGAGTGGCGGTGGTTGCTGCACCTCCGCAGGCTGGTTTTGCAAAATTTGAGGATGTCTCGAGCGGAGGCTTCATGGGGGGCCAGAATTCAGAGGAGGTCTCAGGCGAAATGCTTGTATTCACGTCCCGCTCGCAGGAATTCCGAGGATGTCTCGCGCGTGCCGCGTCCCGCGCGCAGAAATTTTGAGGATGTCTCGACTAATTCGATTGTTTTGCAAGGAATTCTTTGGAGTTTGCCAGGATGTCTCGAACGAAACGCTTGTTTTTCATAATTTGTTGAGGATGTCTCGAGCGAAACGCTGGTTCTGCAAAATTGGGGAGTGTCTCGAGCGGGGGCCTCGTGAGGGGCCAGAATGCAAAGGATGTCTCAGGCGACATGCTTGTTTTCACGTCCCGCGTGAAAACTCGTGGTCTCCTAACGCCTCAGAGCGGGACAAGCGTGAAAACACGTGGTCTCTTGACGCCTCAGAGCGGGACAAGCGTGAAAACACGTGGTTCCTAATGCCTCAGAGGCCGCCCCAGGAGGCCCCAGGAGGCCTCCCCAGGGCCCCAGCGTTCCTTGTCGCACTTACTCGCGGGTCCCCTCCCTTGGGACTTTCCGCGGCGCGCCCTCCTGGCATGTCCCCTTGTCGATTAATTCTGGGACAGCTACCATCTGCTCAGGCAGCTCGAGCTTAAGATCCAAATCGGTTCGGTCAGGACTCGGATGCCAAGGAGGACTCGATCCACACCGCTATATAGAGCACGATCGCGGCATGGCACATCGCAGTTCAGCACGACCCAGCACAGCACAGCCGTCGGCATGGTACATCAAGATCGACACACTCAATATTGCACCTTGGCACGTTCCTTGGCGCGTTCCGTGGCGAGTCCACCTGGCACTTCGCGCGGCGCGTCGCCTGGCACGTCCCGCGGCACGTCCATTGGCACGTTCCGTAGCGCGTCCCCTTGGCACGTCCCGCGGTGCGTCCCCATGGCACGTTCCCTGGCACGGCGCCAGGCGCGTCCCTTGGGACGTTCCGCGGCGCGCCCTCCTGGCATGTCCTCTCTGTCGATTAGTTCTGGGGCAGCTACCATCTGCTCAGGCAGCTCGAGCTTAAGCTCCAGATCAGTTCGGTCAGGACTCGGATGCCAGGGAGGACTCGATCCACAACGCTATATAGAGCACGATCGCGGCATGGCACATCGCAGTTCAGCACGACCCAGCACAGCACAGCCGTCGGCATGGTACATCAAGATCGACACACTCAATATTGCACCTTGGCACGTTCCTTGGCGCGTTCCGTGGCGAGTCCACCTGGCACTTCGCGCGGCGCGTCGCCTGGCACGTCCCGCGGCACGTCCATTGGCACGTTCCGTAGCGCGTCCCCTTGGCACGTCCCGCGGTGAGTCCCCATGGCACGTCCCCTGGCACGTCGCCTGGCGCGTCCCTTGGGACGTTCCGCGGCGCGCCATCCTGGCATGTCCCCTCTGTCGATTAGTTCTGGGGCAGCTACCATCTGCTCAGGCAGCTCGAGCTTAAGATCCAGATCAGTTCGGTCAGGACTCGGATGCCAGGAAGGACTCGATCCACAACGCTATACAGAGCACAGTCGCGGCATGGCTGATCGCAGTTCAGCACGGCCCAGCACGGCACTGCCCTCGGCACGGTGCATCAAGATCGATACATTCAGCATTGCATTTGCCCGTCGCCTAATCAAACGTCATTGAAACGTTACCATGCCTTACATTTCTATATTCCTTTCCGGGTTCGTGGGTCGATCATTGTTTCACGATGTTTCATGCTCTCCGCGTCATTGGAGGAGTGGCTCCCGGCGAGCACGGTCCCAAACATTTGGCGCATCGGAAAAAATCTAGGCGAAGGTTTCCATCATTTTCGGCCTCTCGGGGCCTTGCCTTGCCTCGGGACCGTTAAAACATCGGGAGAACAATTATCGTGTTGGGAGGAAGGGGTTGGGAGGATGAAGGCTATGAGCAATAGCGTTCGGATGCAATGCGTGCTACCTTCGAGCGCCTACGGGCAATGAGATCCTCATTTCTCCCAAACCTATCTTCCCAACCCGGTAATAACTGTCTTCCTGAAACATTTGCCTCGGGACGAAGAACCGCTTCCGGGGAAAGGGTCGAGAGGTCGGGGGCCCGCGTCCCCAACAGCATCTAAACGCTGGATGCCACGGCGAGCGCGGCAGGGGCATCCTTGCCCAGCTTGTCGGCACTGGCCGGCCCGGCTGGCGCGTCCCTGGGCGGCACCCAGACCCCCGGCGTCATGATTTTTCATGACGTCGACCCCCCAGGTCTGGACCTCTTCCCCGGGGCCGGTGTTTCCTCCCGAGCCGTTGTTCGACGGTGCCGAGGCCCCGTATACGGCCCCCAGAAGCCGAAAGTGGTGAGAAACCTCCCCTCCTGCTTTCTCCATCCGGGATCGCCCTGAACAGTGTTTTTCGTTTTTGTATTGTTTTCGCTGTTCCTCGCTTTGTCTTTCATCCGCACCTGCTGCAAGACGAGGTCGAAACGAAAGCGGCCCACGAAATCGCCAAAGCACCGGAGGTCGAGCCCGGAGGTCGAGCCCTGACTTTCATTACGGTCGAGGCGTTGACCTAAGGAACCCTAAATAAGGAACGGGGCCCTTCTCTCCCATAAGTTGAACTTCGATTTCCCATGGAAAACCTCGGGAAAACAGAAGGCAAACTGTAGAACAATCAAGGAACACCGAGCCCCTCCCCAACGAAAAGGGCTCCTTCTTCAGCGCCCCGACTGTACTCCCGAGGGTCTGGGCGGGGCGGGCGGGGGGGGGGTCGGCGCGTGTGTGCTCGGGAGCGCTTCTGCTTCCGCGCGCCGCGGCGGCGGTCCCCGCGGCACGGCAGAGGCGCGCTGCAAACCGCCAGCCCATCGCGCCGCTTCAGGGATCCAGGCTGGAGGCCTGGAAATGGGCACCAACACCAACGCAGGGGGTTGCCTCCACAGGGGGAAGTTGCTCCTAGATTTCGGTGTCGGTGGTAATGTTTCGGCCACCCTGGAAGCCAAAATGTTGCCACCATCACCGAGACAGGGATCCTCGTCCCCCGGTGGAAGCACACCCTCGATATGGGTGTTGGTGTCAACCTCGAGGCCTGCGACCAGGGGGGCCGAGAGAAGCTCGGGGCCCAGGCCCCCTCGAGCAATGAGCAAAAGCATGACGGGAAACGTTTTGGCTATTTTCGGCCACCGCGGGCCCTTAAAATCGGGCCTCGAGACCGTCGAAAAACCACGGGGGTCGACGTCATGTAAACAGCATGACGTCGGAGTCTGGGGCCCGAGAGACGCTCGGGGCGAGGCTGCTCGGGGACTTCAGGCATGCCTGGCGTGTCGCGCCGACGGCGGCGGTGGGCCAGAACCGGCGGCGCGACACGCTGTGGGCGAACGCTCCGGAGCGTGGAGAGATCCTGCAGCGAGGGATCCAGGGGCACGCGGCACATCCTTCGTCGAGTCTGAACCTTGCGTGGCGCCCCAGGGCTCTGCGGCCCCACGAGGGGATGAGACAAAGTGCGGGGCACCCGTCGACAAGCCCATGTCTGATCTGGCTAGAAGTGGCAGAAGAAGCACCATCGGGACAAGCATCCCTGCAAGCGAGAGCCTCCGAGTACAGTCGAGGCGTTGACCTAAGGAACCCTAAATAAGGAACGATGCCCCTATTTTCCATAAGTTGAACTTCGATTTCGCATCGAAAACCTAAGGAAAATCCAAGGCCAGCTGCGAAAGAGTTAAGGAACACGGAGCCCCTCCCGAACGGAAAGGGTTCCTTCTTCAGGGCCCCGACTGTAGTCAGCGCACCCACGGCGGTGGTGGTGGTGGTCTGTGCAAAAGTGGGGCCCACCTGCGAAGGCGAGGGTAAGCCGCGTAACTGCAGATCCGTGCGGCTGTGCGAAGGGCAGCATCTGGACAAAGCAAAGCGAATGCACGCGAGGTGGCGAAGGAACCTTGCCTGAGCCCCGTCGTCCAGGACCCCCCTCTCTTTCTCTCTCCTCCATGCTCTTCCCTCGTCCTCCGTCCACCCTCGCCCTCCTCCGCCCTCTTCTGGCGCCTGCCGCTCCTGGTCTCCAGGTCCTCCTGAGGGAGACGAGGAGCCAACGACTTGTCGTCTGCACTGCTCGTTCTCGTGAGGAGGAATGCCGGACGGCCAGCGACGAGCCAGGGGAAGCAGACATGTCTCGATACTTCGGCGCTTCTCCGCGGACGTCTCCCAGGGTGTGTTCTGGCCGAGATGTCAAGGCGCGCCCAGCCGTGGCGACGAAAGGCCCCCCCCCCCCAGGAGGCCCAGAGAGCGGAGCACGAGGAAGGGGAACGCCGTAAGCACCGGTACAGTCGGACCCGGGCCGGAAGAACATCCCTCAAGAACGCGAGAGCCTCCGCTGGCCAAAGCAAGCAGAACACCCGAGGGTACCCTCCCAAGGATGCACGAGAGCATCCCACAAGCACGAGGAACATGAGGGCACCCTCCCCGAACCGACCTCGATCTTATACCTCGGTGCGGCAGTATGTTTAGGAGTGACGGGCCGTCGTCGCCGCCGTCCCACCTGCGAGGAGTCCACGAGCTCGCGAGCGACGTGAAGCGCCTTCTGCTCCGTCTCCTCGGCGCCCGCGGCGGCTGGGGCCGAGCCAGACCGCGACGATGACGACAACGACCCAGGTCAAGAATCTAAGACGAAGCCAGGACGGGGATCAAATCGGGTGAGAATACATCAGGAACCTCTGAAGTCAGGCGGCTCTGGAGGATGTCTCGCGCGCCGCGGCCTCCTGAGCGTTCCGGAACGCTCTGGCCGCGAGAAGCGCAAGCACGAAGCTAACAGCACACCAAAACCCTTGACCCTCGACGACGACGAGGACGAGGAGGAAGAGGACGATGACGACGGCGTCGGCCCCCCCCCCAAAAAAAAAACCTGCCCCTTGACCCCTTCGAGGCGGAAACAGCTGTGGCCACGACTCCCACGACATGCCCCCCCTCCACCCTGGAGGCCCAAAAGAAAGTCGAGACACGCCCCCAACCCTCCACGACGCCCCCCCGCGCAACGGCGGCCGACGACCACGAGGACGACGGCGGTGACGAAGACGAGGGCGAAGACGTCGACGCCGGGCAGCGACGACGACTACCCCAGACCCCCGACGTCATGATCTTTCATGACGTCGACCCCCAGTAGAGGTTTCGACCTAATTCCCGGGGACAGGTTTTTCGTCCCGAGCCGTTTCTTGACGGTCCCGAGGCCTGGGCCTGGTAATGGCCCCCAGAGGCTGAGAATGGCGACAAACCTCCCGCCGTGATTTCTTCCTTGCTCGAGGGGGTCTGGGACACGAAGACCGAACGCGGCGAGGACGGCGAGGAGCACGACGAGGACGGCGGGGAGGACGAGGGCGGTGACGTCTCCTCCGCGCGGCGGCGGCTGGCGCCGAGCCGGGCTGCGAGCACGGTCTTCGCCCCGCGGAGCTCCGCGGCGTGCGCCCTCGCCTCTGTGGGGGAGGGGGGGGGGCGGCCCGGGGCGGAGGCTGCCGCTGGCAGCTGCGGCCTCGTGCCGCAGAGCTGCCGCCCTGGTCTTGCCAGCCTTGGGCTCTCCTCCTCCTCCTCTTCCTACTCCTCCCTCTCCTCCTCCTCCTCCCGGAGATCCGACGCTCCGAGAAAAATTGGAGCGAGCGTTTTTGTTGGCGGGCTGGGCCTCCAGGCGCCCTCGCGCTGGCCTCGGGACCGTCAAACAAATAAGTAGTCCTTGCGCGGCGAATTACGCAAACCTCCCCCTCAAAAGCTGTTCGATGTCCTCGTCGCTGTTTTTTTGCATGTGTTTCCTATTTGTATGTTTGTTACTCTTTTCCCTGTGCTCGTTCGGGGACGAAGGCGCCTTTTCCTCAGAGGCGATTACAAATGTATTGCCTATGTGGAAAATTACGCAAGGTGTCATTTGTACGGATTACAACAAGTTTCCTGTTGCGCAGATTACTAATGGGCTCTTACTGTCGCGCGTGACATCAGGATTTCTGTGAACCGTAACGGAAGGGCTCCTCTTATGGCGGATGACAAAAGAATTCTCGTTCTGGGAGATTACAAAAGGATTCCTTGCGTAGTGGATTGCAGAAGGCTTCCGATTGTCGCGGCAATGGTTCCTTTAGTCCTCTTCTTTCCTCGAGGCCTGGTCAGATTTGTCCCATGATTCGCCGACTTGTCAGACAGTGTTTCCACGCTGTCCTCTTTGTCCATTATCCCTTCCCGTCCCCTTGCTCGGGGAGGGATGCTCCCATTTGCCCCCGACGCGATGGCACAAGGATTGATTAATCGTGTGGCGAGTTGCATGCGGATTCCTTGCGCGGCACAGTACAGCAGGATCCCCGCAGTGGCGGATGGCATAATGCTTCCTAGCGTCGCGGGTTCCAATCGATTTTTTGGGTGGAGAGGGTTACAAACGGATTCCGTTGGTGGTGGATTGCAAAAGGATTCTGGCTGTCGCGGCACATTTTCCTATGTTTCCTCGTCCCCCCTCAAGAGCGGCTTCAATGTGTCCGAGTTTCGCTGTGCTTACACGTTTTCCTCATACTTGTCCTTAGTGTTTCCCAACCCTCCCGTGTTGGGTTCTCGTTTCGAATGGAGCACCGTGGTCTCTACACTTCCGTCCTCCTCCCCCCCTCCCGCCTCCTGCCTCCTATGTCCTGCCTCCTGTCTCCTCTTCCTTCTCTTCCTCCTCCTGTCTCTCCTTCGTCCTGCTCACGCCGCCTGGCCACTTTCGCCTGGGGCTCTTCCTGTCGCCACTTTCGTGGGCCCCCGGGAGGTCCGGCGGAGTCGGCAGTCACGCGCACCACGTCGAGACCTCGCGGCTCCCTGCGTGGCTGCAAATTGCGCAACTGTCGCCACTTTCGCGGGCTCCTGGGAGGTCCAGCGGGGTGGAGTGGTACGCAGACCCAGTTGAGACTTCGCGGCTCCCCTGGAAAGGTGCGAACTGTACAACTGTCGCCACTTTCGTGGGCTCCTGGGAGGTCCATCGAAGTGGAGTGCAGTTGGAACCTCGCGGCTGCCTACGTGGATGCGAATTGCGCACATGTCGCCAGCTTCGCGGGCTCCTGGGAGGTCGCGCGGAGTGGAGTGGCACGCAGACCCAATTGGGATCTCGCGGCTCCCTGCGTGGCTGTAAATTGCACAACCGTGGCCACTTTCGGTGGCTCCTGGGAGGTCCAACGGAGTGGAGTGCTACGCAGACCAACTTGGAACCTCGCGGCTCCCTACGTGGAGGCGAATTGCGCAACTGTCGCCAGTTTCGCGGGCTCCTGGGAGGTCCAGCGGAGTGGAGTGGTGCGCAGACCTAAATGGTCGCGGCTCCCTGCGTGGCCGCGAATTGCGTACCTGTCGCTACTGTCGTGGGCTGCTGGGAGGTCCAGCGGAATGGAATGGTACGCGGACCCAGTTGGGACCTCACGGTTCCGTGCGTGGCCGCGAAGCCGTCGCCGCTTTCGTAAACTCTTGGGAGGTCGCGCGGAATAGAGTGCTACGCGGACCCGTCTGGGACATCGCGGCTCCTCCGTGCGTGGTGGCAAATTGCGCAACAGTCGCCACGTTCGTGGGCTCCTGGGATGTCCAGCGGAGTGGAGTGATACGCAGACCTATTTGGAACCTCGCGGCTCCCTGCGTGGCGGCGAATTGCGCAACTGTCGCCACTTTCGGTGGCTGCTGGGAGATCCAGCGGAGTGGAGTGGTGCGCAGACCCAGTTGGGACCTCACGGCGCTCTGCGTGGAGGCGAATTGCGCAACTGTCGCCACTTTCGTGGGCTCCTGGGAGGTCCAGCGGAATGGAGTGGTACGCAGACCCAGTTGAGCCCTCACGGCTCCCTGAGTGGCTGCGAATTGCGCAACTGTCGCAACTTTAGTAAGCTCCTGCGAGATCCAGCGGAGTGGAGTGGTACGCAGACCCAATTGGGATCTCGCGGTGTCCTGCGTGGCTGCGGATTGCGCAACTGTCGCCATTTTCGCGGGCTCCTGGGAGGTCGCGCGGAGTGGAGTGGCACACAGACCCAATTGGGACCTCGCGGCTCCTGGCGTGGCTGCGAATTTCACAGCTATCGCCATTTTCGTGGGATGCTGGGAGGTCCAGCGGAGTGGAACGGCACGGGGATCCAGTTGGGAACTCGCGGCTCCCTGGGGGGCCGCGAATTGCGCAGCCGTCGCCACTTTTCGTGGGCTGCTGGGAGGTCGAGCGGAGCGGAGTTGCACGGGGATCCAGCTGGGACCTCGCGGCCCCCTGGAGCTGCGAAGTGCGGAGCCGTCGCCACGTTCGTGGGCTCCCGGGAGGTCGCGACGAGAAGTGCAACCGACGACCAGGTACTCCAGATTTCGTAATTAAAGGGAGGGGGTCTCATTTCGGGGGGGGTCTCTTCCAAGCTATCTTGGAGGGCCTGGAGGGTCTGGGGACGATGTTCTGGAGGGTTCTCTCACGGGGGGGGGGTCTAAAACCTCTCGTCTGGGAGGGTTGAGACCCCCTCCCTTTTATTACGAAATCTGGAGTACTCGCATCCAGAATGGCAGGGGGTCCCACAGCGCGTTGCGCTGCCCCGTCGCGCAGCGCTCGGCGCGCGCTCCGAGAGCGCCCGAGCAGCGCTCCAGGAGCGCCCGGGGAACTCCTGAGGAGCGCCCGCCGCATCGGTTCCATGTCATGTTTGCGTAACGCATTTGTCACTTCTAATGTGTGTGTGTCTCTTTGCGTACTCCAAATCCCTTATTCAGCGGCCCCCGGGGCCGGTATATCAAGGTGCCTTTTTCCAAAGGGGGGAGGCCGGAATATTAAGGCGGTCTCGCGTGACCGAATAGTAAGTACGCCCTCGCCGGTACCGACCCCCGCGCCTGCGATCGCCAACACTGCCGATTCGAAAACACGTCCCCGCATTTTCAGGAAGCTGGTGTTTATCCTCTACCGTTACACAACTCATACCACCATTGGGAGAACCCGCCCCCTTCCACATCCTCCTCCTCCTCTTCCTCCTCCTCGAGGCTCGGGGGAACAATATCGAGGTTCCTGAAAGTCGTTTGCCACTTCTAGGCCTCAGAGGACATGATGAGGACCTCTAGGGCGTCTGGGCGTCAGGAGCAGGGAAGGAGGGGGAGGGGGCGCTCAACCATACAGCGTCCTCGTCGTCTTTCCTCCACCTTCCCTCCTCCTTCTCCCCATGCATGCGACGTTATAATGTTTTCAATGCGCGGACCCCAGAAGTCCTGACCTATTCCCTGGGGCTTTTCATCCTGAATCGTTTTTTGACGGCCCCAGGGCCCGGCGAGGGCCCCCAGAGTCCGAACATGGCAACCAAAAACCTGCGTCATGATTCATTCACGAAGCGATCATGTCTGGGTCCCCTCCCCCTTCCAAGCCCCCGCCATCAAGCACGCCGGGGAGAGGAGCGCGGTGGGGGGGAGGTGGGACGAGCGGAGGAGCGGGATCCCCCCCTCCAGAAGCGGGGGCTGTCTCAACCACCCGGAAAGGGGGAGGCGGATGGGGGAGGGGAGAAGCAGAACAGAAGGGCTGCCATCCAATTTTGGAAAGATCCACGCCCACTTCGACTAACAAGCACCGTTGTCTCGGAACGCCTCTGAATGTGCAATGGGCGTGTGTGGCGCCACGCATACGCAAAGAACAACAAGTACGTCAACTTGGTCTGCCCAACCAACCTCCTGGTGGTCAGGTACAAGATTAACTACGCGAGGGGGGTATAGAGGGAACAATCAGCGATGCAACTATTGTGCGATGCTCATCAGGTGTTTCGGACAAGTGGACCATAGCGTGCACGCGACCACACGGGTACAATTTGATGATGACTACTGCTAGTCTGGTGCGGGGGAGGGGGGTAGCAATACCGCATACGAAACGTGGATGCGTCGGCGTAAGAATGCGAGAAGACCAAGAGACGGACCGATGGAAGCACAACGTATCCAAGGATCGCTCGATAGGAAGAGCGTCAAAGGCGCGCCGCCTCGGCAATCTCTGCATCGAGTGCGGCACAGCGTGTCTCACCTTGCAACTTGGGGGATGACGTGGGCCCAAGCCAACTACATTGCAATGGTGGGCTGCAGAGAGGTCCGACATGCAACAATGCTCATCGGGATAGTGCACTGTAGACAACATAGAGCATAATCCATTCCCTGAAGCCCTGTGGGTTCAATCGGACGGTTCGAGGTGATACAGATTCCAGAGCATTCCCTTGTTTCCCTTTCCCTCGAGCTCCGCAAGGGCGGAAGCAATTAGGGGCGGGAGCGCCCAAGACTGGCCCTGGACAGAAACCTCGCTCGTTGCGGAGGCCCCTCCTCCTCCTCCTCTTCCTCCTCCTCCTCCTCCTCGTCCTCCTCCTCCTTCTCCTCGTCCACGTGTGCTTCTGCACATGCGAGGCGCTGAAGAGACGGGCGCCCTCGGAGGGCGACTGAGCGTCGTCGTCGACGTCAGCGCCGCCCCAGTCGCCGCCGTCGTCCCCGTCCGTGCTCTGACGGCGCGCGGGAGAGCCGCAGACTGAGAGGTGTCCGTCGCGCGGAGCGCTGGCGGCCACCTGCACCCGCCGTCCCATGCCCAGCCGCGCGGCGCCAGCCCGAAAGGGCCCACCCGACCGAAGGGGGATCACGGCGGGAATGCCCACAGGGACTTGCGGGGCGGGTGGGAGGTAGCGATCACGACCCCCACCCCCCCCTTGAAGCGCCCGCAGAGGACCCCCATTCTCGACGAACAAAGAAAGGGAGGAGAAAAAGGAAGAGGATCAGGACGACGATAAGAGAGCGCTTTTCATTATAACATATATATATATGTACCTATGTATATATGTATACAGAGGTATATACATATATACACATAACAAGGAGGTGAACGATGGTGGCCGTGACCGGCCCCTCCCCCCCCTTCCCCCGCCCCCCGGTAACGTCACGATTCGTGCTGGCGTCGCGGCGCCGTTTGGGAAAGCCTACCCCTGGGATCTGCTGTGGCAGAGCGCGCGCCATCCTATGGATATGCCAGCGCATGCGAAGGAGAGCTACGGTTTGCGAAGCGCAGCCTAGCGGATTGATGGGAACAGGATCTGGGTTTGCTCCAGCCTCTCCCTTCCCTCCTTCACCTCCTCCTCTGCCTCCTCTCCCTCCTCCCTTCCCCTCCCTGTCGCTCGAGGTAGGGCCCTCGTGCGCGCCTGCGCGCGCGAGCAGGGCGCGGCACAGACCACGCGCAATGCCGAGTCTTACCCTTCTTCTTCCTTCCTCCTCCTCCTCCTCCTCCTCCTCCTCCTCCTCCTCCTCCTCCTCCTCCTCCTCCTCCTCCTCCCCCTCCTCCTCCTGTCGTCGGCCTCGTCGTCGTCCTGGTCGTCCTCTCCCTCCTCATTGCATTGCCAGGTGCATCGCGCACGAACCGAACAATGAAGGAGGGCGTCGAAGGGAGGGAGGGGGCGGGACAGGCGGGCCCAGGCCGAAACGACCCCTCTGTTTACACGTCGGTTATCGATTCGTGCTCTGGTGGGGCCTGGGCGTCCCACATGCATGCATGCACACATACATGTATGCATGCATACACACATACGTACATATATACATACATACACACATACATACACACATACATACACACATACACCCATGCACGCATACACGCATACGTACACACATACATACACACACATACATACATACATACATACATTCATACATGCCGACATACATACATACACACATACATATATACACATATATGCAGGTATGCACACATACAAACAAACATACATACATACATACATGCATGCATACATACATACATACATACATTCATGCATACATACATACATATATACACACATACATACACACATACATACCTACATACATACATACATACGTACATACATACATACATACATACATGCATACGTACATCCATACATACATACATACATACATACATACATACATACATACATATGTATACATACATACATACATACATACATACGCACATACAGACATACATACATACATACATACATACATACAGACAGACATACAGACAGACATACATACATACATACATCCATACATACATACATACGTACATGCATACATACATACGTACACAACCATACATACATGCAAATCAACATACATACCTAATGCACACTAGCATGCGTGCATGCATGCATGCATGCATGCATCCATACATACATACATACATACATACATACATCCGTGGGCCCCCCTTGTGGGGCCACCGTGCTGTAAGGCGAGCTTGCTGCTCACTGCGCCGGGTCTCAAGTCTGCAATGTTACAACCCCTGCTTCCTATTGTAAATTGTTGAAGTCCGCGCGGGGGAGCGAGCCCCAAACCGGCAATTCACCACCCCCAAATCGCGTTGCCTGAGTTCCCGAGGGGAGCGTGGGACAAGTAAAAACACATGAGATTCACGCCCCCGAGGCCATCATCCCCCGTAAATGACGCAATGCTCGCGTCCCAGAAGGCCATCATCCATGGTGAACTATAGAATGTCTGCGCCCCCGAAGCCACAAACCCTAGCAAACCATCTAATTCTTGCATCCCCGAGGCAACAATCCCTTGCAAATCATTCCACATTCGCATCCCCGAGGCCATAAACCCTAGCAAATTACGCCGTATTCGCAGTGCCGATGCCAAGAGTGTTCCACGGTGCCCGAAGATGGTTCCAGGACGGCCCAAAAGAGCCCCAAGAGGCCCCAAGAGCGCTCCAAGAGGCCTCCCGAGAGAGCCCCAAGAGGCCACAATCGTTGATTGCACAACTGTGTTTGAAGGATTTGGGCTTTCTCGCATTTTCGGCTTTCCGACGATCCGAGACGGCTCGAAGAGCTCCCAAGACCGCCCCAAGGCAGCCCAAGACGCCTCCAAGAGGGCCCCAAGACGTCCCAAGAGGGCTCCAAGATGGCCTAAGAGGCGCTCCGAGAAGCCCCGAAAAGCTTAGAGGAGGCCCCGAGAAGCCGCCAAGAGGCCCCAAGAGGCGCCAAGAGGCGCCCAAGAAGCCTCCAACAGGCAACAGGCCCCCAAGACGCGCCCTGACCGCCCCCAAGAGGCCCTCCACGACCCCCCAACACATACACAAGAAGCATCAAACCTACAGCCCAAGCACGGTGGCGGGATGAACCGAAGGCCACTCGGACAGCGCCAACGTCCCAATATACGCTAATGATTCCTATCCGCCCCCGCATGATGCTCCCAAATGTGCCAAGCCGCCAAGGCAGTGCCGAGACGCACCGACGCGACTCTGATACATCCCATTCTGATAGAGAGGGGGCCGGCGGCAGGGGGCGAAGCCCTTACGGGTATATGCATATAAATATAGGTGTACATATGCACACATGTATGTACATCTATGTGTGTATGTGTGTTCCTTTTCGTTGTCACGATGGTGGAAAGGAGTGCCCTGACGGGCCCCCTCTCGAGAATGGCATGGGGAGCAGAGGCCTGTCTCGGTCCCTGGATTCGCGTGTGGGACATGTAAGAACCGCGTGCTGCATGCATATTCTACCTCGCGCCGCGGCAGAGGCAGTCCGCACGCGCCCTCGGGCAAGCTGGGTGACGGCATTGCGAACTGCCCAGATGCAAGAGGGGAAGGAGGGGGACAGAATGAGCGGCAGCGGGAGGAGGGGAACGAACTGAAGCGCTCACGCAGCAGGGACCGCAGCGGAGCGGCTGGGGAGGCCTAGCCGGTGCTGAACCCCTGGCAGCGGGCACGGGGCGGCGTCGCGGCCACACCCAGGGGCTGGGGCAGCAGCTGCAGTGCGGGAGGTAGAAGACCAGCAACTGGGAGAGGGTGGGTACGAAGGCCAGCAGCAGGGGAGCCGAAGGACGTCCCAGGTGGCAAAGTGCCGCGGGACGAGGCTGGGCGGGCTGCAGGGCTGGCCGTGCTGTGAGCGGTGACCGACGTGGCGGGACGGGGGGGGAGAACCCCTCGGTCCACCAGCTGGGAGGCGGCGCTGCTGGCGGCGGGGGCGCGTGCGTGCGTCCGCCAGGCATGCCAAAGCGGCGGAACCGGGGACAAGCAAGAGTGTCCCGCAGCCGACGAAACGGGTGCAGTTGCTGAGTACTCACGCACAGTCCTGTGAACCCAGCCACACGAGGGCCGAGCGCTGGAAATATATGCGGCCGCTTGCATATCCAGCTCTCGCCCAGGCCCACCGCGTCTGGTTTGGCTTCCTGCTACGATTGGAGCGGCCTCGAGAAAACTCTTCGCGCACACCCCCGCTTTCCAGGTCTGGCGGGGCCCAGAATGTCTAGGACTGCTGCTGCAATGCTTGATCGATCTTCCCAGAATCTGCGCGTCAACTCCGATCCCTGTGGTGATGATTCTTTTCTTGGACGGGCGTTATCAAGCAGTGTTCTACTCCGCTGGTCATGTGACCAATGAGGCATATTCGATACTGAACAGATTCCCAATGCCAACGCGCATTCAGATGTTACCATACCACGGGCGGGACAATATGCTTATTTGGGGTCGGGCAAGCGGTTCTGCGCAATTCAATGTTACATGTTGCAATGCTTCAAGAATGCGCCGCACGGATGAAATACAAACAAATGAAGGTCTACAAATGCTTACTGCGTCGTTATGACATGTAGAACGCTGGCTGCAACTCCTAGGTCTTCGCCGGCAGGCGTCTTGATTCAAGCGAGGTCGCAGAAATGACGGCGACAGACAGAGGGCGACAACACCACGCACCATATTGTGCCCAACAGTCAGTAACCAAGCTGAACCCCACGCGCACTGGCATGAGCAATGCTCTCAGTTTCGTGAGCGCTCAAGATGCTGTCACGTTCATGAAACCAATGCGCGCCAATGCTTCGTTTTGAATCTACGCTGTCCAACAAAACACCCAATCCAACTGCCATCCCATTTGCATAATCGTACCGCGCCCGTGGTGAAACGTGAATAATGTCATGTAACCATCGCACGTGACAAGCTACACCTAACCAACTTGTTGTAACGGATGCTTGCGTTGGAGGGCACCTCCAAGAAAGAATAGCCTCCCCTTGCAAAACATACAAACTCCCAAAACTGATGGCGTTCCGCGTCATCTAATAGCAACGCCCGGTTTGGCAACTGACGCTTCTCTATAAAAATGCACAATCAAATTCATTCCGTGATCAGGACCACGATTGAAGCCTTGCCTTGCCGCTGTTGGGCGCCGCTGAGTCTGCATATCCTGAGGACAGCATGTCCGCCAAGCCACCACGCATAATGAACGACATTGGATCGTAATAGCGCGAGCTACGTCTGAGCAACTTCCAATCCCCGCGGGGACAGTCATATATGCACAAACAGGGAATATACCTTCTGATAAGGAAGAGCGAACAGAACAAAGGAACAATCAACGAAATGTGGATACTTCCCGCCCCAGACACAAGCGTATCAGGGAGAGCGCAAAAGGTCAAGGATAGACGGTGGGTTTGAGAAATGCAATGAGATAATGTATGACCTGCCTTCCGCCCTGGCACGAGACCAGCTGTAACTGTATTCTTAAGATATTAACACATTGTCATGTAACGCCGCCAGGATACGCGTAGGCTTGTATGCGCATGTGCCACTCGTCCATGCGCCTGTCCTTCAGAGCCGCCACTGCTTTATCAGCTTCCTTTTTAGTCGCGTACTCGACCCAGCCACACTTGTAGGCCCCCTCGCGATGCAACTCGTACTGCAGCACGACGCCATACTGAGTTGGTTGGAAATCGCAAATTCATGCATTAAAGCCGGTCCTGCCCATACGTGCGGCTGTGTCTGACCCGCCCCCCCCGAGCGCCCATGCCACGCGCCAGGAAAAAGGAGAAAACCTGCACGAAGCTGCAATCACCAACAACATGTTCCCCGAGGCCACCCTGGTCTTCCACGATTGCCGAATTCTTATATTATGGCGCTGGCATTGGGAGGAAATGCAGCCCGCCGCCTACAACAAAGACCATGACGCCTTGGCGGCAGAACATGTTCACCAAATTTGCGCAATTTCGATGGGGGCCACGATGGGGGGTCACGATGGGCGGGCCACGATGGGCGAACCGGGATTGGGACAAAGGTAGGGAGATCGGGCTGGGGACATAGGGATGCAGGGAAGGGCATCTAGGATTGGGGGTGGGGATGCACTTGAGAAGTACAGGGGAATCTGGTTGGAGACGGCAACGGGAGGCCACGGGAGGCCATGGGAGGCCGACGGAAGCAACGGGGGGCCACGGGAGGCCACTGCACGGGGAGGCGCAACGGGGGGCCACGGGAGGCAACGCAGAGCAACGGGAGGCAGCGTCGCCCACCCGACTCTGGATCCGGCAATCCACCTGGCCTCTTCTTCAAGATGTAAAGAACCCTTAGAGACAAGCTGCTTATGGGGCAACTTGCACGCAACACTCACGCAACGACGCATCATCACCTCAACCCTGACTTCGAACCGCTGCCCGGAAACGCCCCCCCAGAGCCAACCTCCTCCGGAGGAGCCGGCACCTGCGAGTGTGCACGTGCGTGGCTGGCCCGTCCCAGGATCAGAAACCCACAAGCCTGCAGGCGTGGAATCCTCCGACGGGGTGTGAGCAGGGGTGCCACGGAGAAGAAGAACACGACAATGACAAATTACCCGAGACGTATCCTAACCCCTTCTCAACGCGAGTCTACCTTTTGTAAGGAACGCTCCATACAAAAAAACAGGCAGTTGCAAGGACACTCTGCATCGCTGAGACTCCCAACGGCCTACGATAGTGGCAACAATTGCGCACTGCGCCACCCCCCAGGGAGCCGCGAGATCTCGCGTCGTGCTGCGTGCTCTTCCAACATGGTGGGCCTCACAAGATCTCACGAAAGTGGCGACAGTGGGGAAATGCGCAGCCATCCAGGGAGCCGCGAGGTCTCGACTGGACGCGAATACACCCCACTACGCCGTGCCTTCCAGAAACCCACGAAATTGGTGACAGGTGACAGCTGAACCGTTCGCAGCCACCCAAGGAGCTGTAAGGTAAGGTCTCCTCGGCTGGGTGCGCGTATTCCCCTACTCCGCCGTGCCTCCCAAGAGCCCACGAAAGTGGAGGTAATTGCGCACTGCGCACCCCCCCAGGAAGCCGCGAGGTCTCGGCTGGATGCGCGTATTCCCCTAGTCCGCCGTGCCTCCCAGGACCCCACGAAAAAGGCGACAATTGCACAATGCGCAGCGAGCCGGGGAACCGCGAGGTCTCGGCCGGATGCGCGGATTCCCCTGCTCCGCCCTGCCTCCCAGGAGCCCGCGAGAATGGCGACAGGGGCACCGTTCGCAGCAACCCATGATCACTTCGCATGGTTTTTTGACAAGGACGGCGGAGCTGCCCTCAACAGTATGTCCGCTCTGTGCAGTCCCACCATCCCTGACAACAAAAGTTCTACAAAGTACACTCTGCGGTAAAATCTGGACCATGCGCTAGCGCTCAGGTCCGAAGCTTCCACCACTGAGCAAGCAATTTCGAGCTTCCCCTTCCCCGCCCCATACTCTTCGTCAGCCGTCCGTCCGCAGTGTCTTTTCACTGATATTGCTTCACGTAGATGGACGGTTCTGTATCACGCGCCCGTCCAAGTCCGAACATAAAAAACAACAAAACTGGTTCCGCATTCTGTCTGGGCGAGCGGGCTCCATGAAGAACTGGTGCTCTGGGCTCCACCCTTCTCAACGAAAGCTCGGCACTGCGTTTCCGACGGGACTTATGAACTCAGAGGGATCGGGACCCCAGGCTTGGATGCTGCCTATATCTTGGGAGGGCGGGTGGGGTGAGCGACACGGCTTGCGGCTGGGGGTAGCTTGACCACTATTCCCTATTAATGAACACCCCCTTCCCCCGGCGACTGGCAGCCAACCCGGACCAATGAGCCCCCCCCCCACAGCACCTTGTAAACAACAATGCAAAATGCACTTTGCCTCCAAATCTGGCGCATGCGCGGGCGCCCCGCGACCACTTTGGATTTGCTTTTAACAGGAACGGAGGGGGTGTCGGCATATTCGTTGCTGCTCGCAGGCCAACTACCCGTTCCAAACAACAGCGTAGCAAATAAACTGTGGCTCGCAGGACCCTCTTTTCTCTGAGCTCTCATGTAGTTCACGAGTCCTCTAGATGTCACAATTTGTCCATCGGTGCAGGTGCTTTGCGCTCCATGGAAGAGCCGCCCTTCTCACAGAATGCTCGGCACTTCGCTTCAGGGGGATTCAAGATCCGAGCTCCTTGGGGCCAGGGCCCCAGGCACCTGGGGTCCCCATGGGTTCCCCGAAGCTGGCGCACCTGGAGCGGCTGGAGCACGTGGCACAGTTGGCACAAGTGGAGCATGTGCCGCACCTGGCACGCTTGGGGCTCCGGCGTGCCTGGTGCACCAGGAGCCCGTGGCGCGCATGGCATGTGTAGCGTTCCTCAGTGATCTGCTGACACTCGGGTGTTACTTTATGTGTTGGGAGGGCGGGTGGGAGTGAGCCAGACGACCGAATCTAGGAGGGCGTCTTGACCTCTCCCCGCTACCCCCTACCCTGGGTCTGGAGGGGCGACGACCGATTGGAGCGTCCGAGGAGGCCTCGGCGAGGAGGCACGAACCACTTCGGTTCCTAGCGCTTTGGCGCAAGTTTCTTCTTGGACCGAACTTCTCCGAGATGGCCCATAGATGGCCCACTGGGCACGCGATAGTGCCCCGAGAGGGCACCAAGAGGCGCCCAGGAGGCCACAAGAGATCCCCAAGAGTTCCCCAAGAGGCTCCCACGAACCCCCCAAGATGCCCGAAGAGGCTCCCCCGAGGCACACAAGACGCTCCAAGAGGCCCCAGGAGCGCCAAGAGGTCCCCAAGACGCCCCAAGAGGATTCGAAGAAGCTCTCTAGAGACATGCGATGAGACTCCGAGAAACATCCAAGAGGCCTCTGGCCTTTCTGCTCGCCCTGCTTCTCCTCCTCCTCCTCCTCCTCCTCCTCCTCCTCCTCCTCCTCTTCCTCATCCGCCCTGCTCCCTCCTCCCTCCTCCCCTCCCCTCCCCCTCCTCCCTCGATTCCTCCTCCATCCTTCCGCTCTTGGGTGCGACGGCTGCCCCAAACCTTTCTCACACTGCGTGCTCCTCCGCATCCCTGATCAAGGCAACCCGCCTGGGCATCGTTGCTGGATGGGCTCGTGTTGTTACGCGGAGCGTCTAGAATTAGTCGCCGTCCCTGGCGCAAATGCTGCACAATCTCCGCTAGGACGGCTCCTCGAACGGAGACCGAGCAGAGCTTGGGTGCTCCGGAAACATTCCCAGAAGCCCGCTGGGCGGATCTTGGGCCGTCCCCGCGAGAGCACCGCGGGAAGACTCTCGGGCGTCCCGAGGGCCCAAGCGCCACTTGCCGCGCGCCCCGCGATCCTCGTTGGCGATCTCCGTGAGCTCGTCCTCCTCCATGTCCCGCGGGAGCTGCGTCAGCATCACGCGCATGCACCGCTCCCGCTGCGGCCGCGGCGGCGACTCTGGCGAAGGCTCCCTCGGCGGCGGCGGCGACGGTGGCAGCTCACACATGCCGCCGCGGCCGCGGGATCGCGACTGCCGCCCTCCGCGTCCGCGCCCCTTGGCGCCGTCGTTCTTCCACGGGCGGTCCCGAAATCCGTTCTGGCCGTCGCGGTCGTAGTGCCTGGAGGGGGCCCAGACTTCGTGAGCACTGGCTTCCTCAGACCCGGCGCTCCACCTCCGCCTCGGCCTCTGGGGGGCCGCTTTCGGACCCCCCCGGGCCGTCCAGGATGGACCCGGAGCGAGAGGCTGCTGCCTGCACGGGGAAGGGTTCTTGGACCTCCTGGGGCCCGGGGGGTTGCTGAGCAAGTCGATCCCTCGGATGTCCGGGGAGGCCGCCCGAACTGGCCAGCCCCAGCTTCTGGGCTCCGCGGCCCCGCGGCGCGCGCCTTCCAACGAAGCGCGTTCCCCGTCCCCGATCGAGGGCGCCGTCGGTATAGTTCCGCCGCCGAGCCCTGCGCTGGCAGGCGCCACCCAGCTGCCCGTGCTTCATTTCCCTCCTGAATGTTGGGTCCCCGTGTTGAATCCGCAACGCCCCGCGTCTCACTCCCCTCCTCCTCCACCTCATTGTTCCTCTCGTCTTCCTCTTCATCCATGTTAGCATCATCACCACCACCACCACCATCATCATCATCATCATCATCATCATCATCAGCATCATCATCATCATCATCATCATCATCATCAGCAGCAGCAGCAGCAGCAGCATCATCATCATCATCATCATCATCATCATCATATCATCATCATCATCATCATCATCATCATCATCATCAGCAACATCACCATCGCCATCACCATAATGATCGTCATTGCCATCACTTATACTCGTCATCGTAAACAATAAATCAATCATGCAATCAACCGATCAATCAACCACTCATCCTCATCACCATCACCATCTCAGAAGGCGCGCCACCACCATCATCACCATCAACATCACACTCACCACCACCATCATCATCAGCACCACCACCATCATCATAAGCATAATCATCATCGTAATCATCGTCAAAACAATCAGCATGATCATCACCATCATTAGCATCAGCATCAATATCGCCATCGTCATGTTTATCATCACCATCAACAACCATAACCATCACCACCACCAGTCTCATCATCGTCATCATCATCAGCATCATCGTCATGAACATCATCAACACCACCAGCATCATCATAATACTACTATGCACCATCATCGTCATCATCAGCAGCAGCATCATCGCCATCCTCTCAGCAGCAGCATTATTATCGTCATAATCCTCCTCCTCCTCTTTCTTCTCCTCCTCCTCCTCGTCATCATCATCAGCAGCATCAGCATCCTCATCATCCTCATCATCATCACCATCATCATTAAGCTTTCGGCGCACACTCACGCGATTCATGGCCCCATGGGAAGCTCCACCGAAGCCTTCAGTGGCTGCGTCCGCCTGGTGACTCGGGTCCATTCGGGCGCACCCCTCAAACCTTTCATGGCCCCAAAGGGAGCTCCACCGAAACCTTCAGTGACTGCGTCCGCATGGTCACGCGGGTCAACTTCGGCGCGCCCCTCACACGTCTCGTGAAACCATAAGGAGCTCCAATGAAGGCCCCACTGGCTGGGTCCGTCTGGTGACTGGCCCCATTTCGGCGCACCCCTCGCACGCTCCGTGGCCCTCTGGGGAGCTCCACCGAAGGCCTCAGTGGCTGCGTCCGCATGCTGCGTCCGCATGCTCACTCGCCCAATTTCGGCGCACCCCTCACACGTTTCGTAGCCTGACAGGAAGCTCCACCGAAGATCTCAGTGGCTGCGTCCGCATGGTAACTCGCCCCATTTCGGCGCACCCCTCACACGTTTCGCGGCCCCCCGGGGAGCTCCGCCGAAAGCCCCAGTGGCCCATGGTGGCGCGCCACTCACACGCTTCGTGGCCCATAGGGAGCTCCGCCGAAGGCCCCAGCGGCTGCGTCCGCATGGTGACTCTCCCCCGTGGCTGCGTCCGCATGGTGACTCGCCCCCCTGAGCCAGCCTGGGCACCCGTGGCTGCGTCCACACTGTGGCTCGCCCCACTAAGACCGCCAAGGAATCGTGAGCTCGCGGCGCAGTCGCGCCGCCCATTGCCTGGCTTTCCGCGCGCTGCGCTGGAGCTGTGAATCGTTCCTCAAATCATCCTCCCTCCTGCTTCCTCTCTTCCAACCCACGTGTTTCGCGCCGCATGCATTGTCAACTTCCCATGTAATTTGAGTCGCGTAAGTGCGTGCGGAGCCTGGTCCGACGTTCTCCGGGGAAGTGTTTGTGCATCGAGCGGTCCTCCTGATTGCTTCCATTTGTGTAGAATGGGTTGGGCTCATCGCCAGGGTATTTTGTCTTTGGCGCTTATGCAATTCTGCGCAGCCTATGATACTGCCTTTGGGTAGCCTATGCACAAGCCTACAGTGTGGGCGCGGCCGCAAGAAACCCTCGCAAGAAACCCAACCCTGAGAACCCGTGCGCGAGGCGCACCTGAGGGGAAACCCGGAGCACCCTGAACGTAGCAGCTCCTTCAACGGCTGCGGGAAGTCACCGCGCAGCGCGCGGAGCGAAGAGACGAAAAGCAGATGGTTTCTTGATGCGCGCCCCCACTGAATTGGGGCCTAGCATAGGCTGTGCATAGACAATAGTCGGGATTGTTGAGTGAGCAGCGCAGCCGGATAAGACGCTTACCTCCCCCCCATCTCAAGACGTGCGCGGGCACTTCGCACGCCCAGACTCCTCCCTCCTCCCTCCTCCCTCCTCCCTCCTCCCTCCTCCCTCCCTCCTCCCTCCTCCCTCCTCCTCCTCCCTCCCTCCTCCCTCCCTCCCTCCCTCCCTCCCCTCCCTCCCTCCCTCCCTCCCTCCCTCCCTCCCTCCCTCCCTCCCTCCTCCCTCCTCCTCCTCCTCCTCCTCCTCCTCCTCCTCCTCCTCCTCCTCCTCCTCCTCTCCTCCTCCTCCTCCTCCTCCTCCTCCTCCTCCTCCTCCTCCTCCTCCTCCTCCTCCTCCTCCTCCTCCTCCTCCTCCTCCTCCTCCTCCTCCTCCTCCTCCTCCTCCTCCTCCTCCTCCTCCTCCTCCTCCTCCTCCTCCTCCTCCTCCTCCTCCTCCTCCTCCTCCTCCTCCTCCTCCTCCTCCTCCTCCTCCTCCTCCTCCTCCTCCCCCGGCGTCTCGGAAACATCGAGGCGGAAATGTGCTATAGTTTTCGGCCTCTCGGGGCCCTTACCAGGCCGCGGGGCCGTCCACAGAAGTGCCTCGGGACGAAGAGCCGGCCCCGGGGAAGTGCTCGAGAGGTCGGGGCCCTGCTCCTCGAAGAGGTCGGAGCGGCCGATGTCTGGGCACGCGCGATGTCACCTGTGGATCACGCTGCGGACCATACTTGCCGAACTGGCAACGCATGCAGCTACCACCTTGTCTATACGGTCGATCTCCGGCTGCGATCAGTGTACCCTGACTCCGGATCCGCCCTACTTTGGGGAAATTCGTATGTGGGGCGTGGAATTTCCGCCTCACGTTTCAAGCCCCGCTGATGCCAATTTCCGCCCTACTGTTCTGTTGTTGTTTCCGCCCTACTTCTGTGGATTTTCGCTCCATTTTATGTTGGGTGCAGAAATTTCCGCCCTACTTTTTCGGCTCCTTATAGGTGGATTTCCGATGCAATTTTAAGTTGGGATAAAAGCCAAAGTAGGGCGGATCTGGAGTAAGGGTAGGTGGGCGATCCAAAGGTCACCAGACGCCGAAGCCCGGTACCATGTGGGATGCCTGGCTGAGGATAGCGACAGCGGTGCGACCACGCCTCATCTGACCCGCGCGCGCTCACTTCAGCATGGGGAAGGGGAGTTCGCTGCGAAGCGGCTTGGGCCCCAAGTGCCTCTGATTGCCCCAGCCCCAGTCCTGGCTGTCCCTCCTGATGTCGGCAGGCTCCTTGTTTGCGGGCGCCACCTTCATAATGCCAGTCCCGAACACAGATGTCTGGTCCAGCTCGGCAATCGCAGTGCGCGCCTCGCGTAAGGACTGGTACGCCACAAACGCGAACGTGTCGCGGTCCGAGCGCTTGATGGAGATTCCTAGCTGCTGGCAGGAAAACCGACCAATCCCAAGACCCTGCTCCACAACAACAGAAGCTGTCGCCCGTTACCCCCCCCCACCGGTAAAGCCACGACTTGCGCCGGCGCCCTGGGGTTGGCTGCAGGGCTGGCTGATTCCTGGACGGCGCCGGCGCACATCGTGAAGTTGGCTGCCCCGCCCCCCGCCCTCCCCTCCCCTGCGGCCCCGTGACGCCTGTCACAGCCAACGGATGATCGATCCCCTCCCTCAAAGAGTACAAGCTGTTGGCACGGCTACCCCCCTGTCCTGTCCTGGGGCGCTCTCTGACCAAGACTCCGACTTCGAGGCGAAGACAGCGGTGGAGACGAGAGAAGCGCAGCGTCGTCGGCACCTGTTCCTCCTCGGACTCCCGTCGCTTCGGAGCGCAGGAGCGCGCTCAGGCCGCGGCTCTGCCGGGCTCTGCCGAATCCCCCCAGCACTCTCGCGCTCGAGAGCGCTCGGGGGCAGCGTGGGAGCGACCGACCCTGCCGCTGCGGCAGGCTGCTGCGCGTTCGGGCTCTGGGGAGCTTGGGAAACAGACCTTGGGCGAAGTGGTCGCTGGGTCTGCTTGATTAGTTACCCTTTTGTTCGCCGCGGGGGCGGTCGTGGGAGAAGGCAGGTCCGGATCGCCCCGTGTAGGCACAGCCAGGGAGGGCTGTATCTTGATGCAGGTGCCCCAGAACAAGGGATGGGGGGTGTTCTAAGACGCCTTGTCCGGGGGCTTCAGTGACCCCCCAACACCAGAGTTGTCCATACCATATCCGCTGCTTCCGGGGGCCCTGAGAAATTGTTCCCGAAAGTGGTGGATACGAATGGAACCAGAACCAGGAACCACTACGCATGAGGCCAAAGGCTCAATGCCCGAGGGCACAGCAAAAACGTTTCATCAGCAGCGATCGCGATCGCCAAATGGACAGCTGCCACGAGGTCTGCCGCACACCATCTGCCGATGAATCGCAACGATCTGGACGCCTTGCGCGTGACTTCCAGGGCAATTAACTCGCCCCAAGGGGCACACAGATTACACACAGCTATACACACTGTCCCCTCCAACGCCCACCTGAGTCCGAATCGTGGAAGCGACACAAAGGGCCAGGTTTGCATCGAAGTGGCTTCCTTCCGAAGAGGCTCGGGAATCGCATCCAGAAACGCGAATCGGTCAATTATTGCTCACAAATTGGAACGATGCAGAGGGGAACGAACAATGACATAAGCATAACAAATCGGAGGTCCTCGCGGATTTCTCGGATCGGCGCTGCTGGCGGAGAAATCCGCGCGGATCTCCGAGTTGTTATGTTTAAATCATTGTTCGTTCCCCCAATGCAGGAGGAGGGAGGCGGAAGAGAAAGCGGGGGCAACCGCAAGAACGGCGAAATCAAACGACGATTTCTCGGATCGGCGCTGCTGGCGGAGAAATTCGCGCGGATCTCCGAGCTGTTATGCTTAAATCATTGCTCGTTCCCCTAATGCAGGAGGAGGGAGGCGGAAGAGAAAGCGGGGACAACCGCAAGAACGGCGAAATCAAACGACGTGCGCAGAAGACCGACCGGCGAAGAGACCGAGTGGCCGCACACCGGCCGCGCCAGGTCCTGCCCTGTGCAGGCCCACAGGGCAGGCCAGGCCGGGTGCACCGGCAGCGCGGAGTCTCCCGCCGCGGGGGCACGGCAGAGACGGGGAGAGAGACCTCCTCCTCCTCCTCCTCCTCCTCCTCCTCCTCCTCCTCCTCCTCCTCCTCCTCCTCCTCCTCCTCCTCCTCCTAGAGACAGAGCGCCGAAGGCATAGATACAGCGACGAAGACGGAGAGCGGCCGGCGGCACCAGCCGTGCCCGTCTCAAGAGGCCCGCTGCACGGCCCCCCGGGCAATGATGCGGGCATGATTGATATCCATATCCGCTGCATCCTGGACTCCCTGGGAAGGGGCGCCCCAAGGCCGAGGCGCAGTGGATCTGGACAGAAGTCTGGCCCCGACCTCCACAGCGGTCAGAACTTGATCCTCGTATCCACTGTGCCTCTGGCCTTCTGGGGAAGGGAGCTCGAAACCCCAGGACGCAGTGGGTCTGGATGCCGGTGCTGCCCGCAGCGAGGGGTGGGGCAGGGGCCCGCGCGGCCAAGGCGCCCAGGCGCGGCGCCACGGCTGCAGCTCGGCGGGCCCCGGCCGAGGAGCGGCCCGACGGGGCGCCAGCCCGACGGCAACACGTGGGAGGGGGCGCGCGGCGGCAGCCGAAGGAAGGACCCGAGGAACCGCGAGTCCCTTTGGGGCCGCTTCCAGACCCAGAGCGGTCCTCGGTTCAGCGCCTCGGCCGTGCATCGTGACCCCCGCGGGTGCCCAAGACGGAATGGGGGAGCGCCCGTCTGGCCGCGCGCACTGGCCGCCGGGGCGGCCTGGAGGACCGCAGCAGCCGCTCCCGCTCTGGCCAGAGGGAGGGCCCCCAGAGCATCGCGCCGCGCATTGCTGGTGCGTCGGCGACGCATCGGTGGCATCGGGGCGGAGGAGGCCAGGTCCAGCTCCCGCTCGGCGGCGAACGAGGGGGAGAAGTGAGGAGGAGAAGGTTCTCTCAGAAGGCGGCAGGACTTCTCAGAAGCCCTCGCGCCCTCTGAGAGGTTGTCTGCGTCTTCGGGGAAGGCTTAGAAGACATCTCAGAAGGCCTGGGGGGCTTCCGAGCTTCCTGAGAAGGCTCTCTTCTTCTCACCTCCCCCCCCCGGCTCGCCGCCGACCCGCCACATCGCCGATGCATCGACGATACTCCACGAGCCTCCAACCACATCCGCTCCAGCCCCGCTCGCGAGGCCTGGAGGTTTGCCCCGGGGGTCCTGTCACTGTCCCGAATCCCGAGCACACCTTGTCGATCTCGCGCTCTGAGATGTCTGGCAAAGCTTGTGGATGCAAACATGCAGCTCTTTGAGGCTCCCAAGGGTAGTCCCAGGCGGTCTCGACACCAGGTCGCCGCCCAAGGCGGCGCCAAACCATTGCGTATCCAGACGGCCGCGGGCTACCCTCGGGGCCTGTTGAGGGCAGACGGAACTGCGTCTGGGGGCTACACAGAGTAGAACCGCGCTGCAAACTATTGCAATGCTTGCATGCGTTGGGGACGTCGTGATTACAGCACAGCGGCCGCAGGTGCGTCATACGCGTGGCTTAGCTTCCAGTAGACAGGACACAACTGCCGCAAAAGGGGCGCATGCACGAGACTATAAATGCCCACTCAGCTCCGGAAGCCCTGAATCTGAACACGATTTTCATTTCCTGGGGGCGCGTTTTCCACTTCCCCCGGAGGGGCGGCCCCCGCACGACTTCCGTCGCCTCCCGCAGGCCGTCTGCCGGGCAGGAGCTGCCAACCCCTCGATCCCCTTTGAGGGCGCGGCCCCCTTCTCTGGAGCTCGCCAGGGCGGAGCCGGGCCTCGCAGCCCACAACGCCTTGCCAGTGCTGTCGGGCGGGCAGCCTCCCAGCCAGATGCACGGGCAGGTGAGCTCCGGGGCCCTGCCGCCGCCGTTGTAGTCGTGGCAGTCGCCGCGGCCGCCGCTGCGGCTGCGGCCACGTGGCCCCCAGTCCGCCGAGCCCCTTTCAGGGCTGCGTGCCCAGCGAGTGGCTCGCGTTCCCCCCACGGGCGCTGTCCTGGAGAGGGGGGCTGGGGGGAGAGGGGGAGGGGGAGGAGGAGGACGCGGAGGAGGAGGAGGAGGAAGAGGAGGAGGAGGAGGAGGAGGAGGATGGAGGAGGAGGAGGAATAGGGAGGAGGAGTGAGGAGGAGGAGGAGAGGAGGAGGAGGATGAGGAGGAGAGGAGGAGGGAGGAGATGGAGGAGGAGGAGGGAGGGAGGGAGCAGGAGGAGGAGGAGGAGGAGGGAGGAGAGGAGGAGGTGGAGGGAGGGAGAGGGGGGGCTGGTCTGCAGGGGGTGCGGGCGTGCTTGATATGCTTTGTACCTGTTCTGTTTTGTCTACGTATCTGCACATCCAGCGCAGTGCGTGGCTCGGGAACGCGCGTGCACTCCGGCGGGCGCTCGAACCGTCCTTTCCGAGGCGCCCGACGGTGCACATACGCTTCTTATGTGAAGTAAAGGCTTGCTTGAATCTCCGAGGCGATCCTGGAACCATATCAGATCGGACTAACACTCCTTGGGGGGTGGATGCAGGATGGAGACGGGAGGGGGGCGGGTGATGCATGGAGGGATGCAGGATGGAGGGGGGGGAGAGGGGTGCGGAAGGAGGGAGGGCGGGGCGGGGGTGAGGGGGGAGGATAGGGGGGATAGGTGAGAGGGGGAAGGCGAGGACGATGGAGAAAATGCTGCACCAGCAGATGCTGCTCCTGCGGCTGCTGCTCCTCCTGATTATTCCTTCCTCCCTCCCCCTTCCCCCCTCGCTGCCCTCTGACTCACTCGCTGCTCGTGGCATTCCCTCGCTTCCCCCATGCGATTCCGCGCTTGGCGCTTTCCCCCACTTCCCCTGCCGCTGCTGCCGCTGCCGCTGCCGCCTGCTGCCCCTCTCCCCTCGCACGCCTCTCTTTTCCAGGCTCCAGGCCATAGACACGTGCGACAAGACTACGTGAATACGGGGTCCACGAGCCCCGCCTTGAGCGCCAAATCGCTCCCCTCCTCGTCCCCCTCACCTTCCTCGCCCTCCATCCTTGTCCTGTCCTCCTGCCCACTCTACTTTCTATTCCCGCCCCCTCCTTGTCCCGCCCTCTCACCTTGACCTGCCCTCTCCTCCTCCTCCTCCTCCTCCTCCTCCTCCTCCTCCTCCTCCTGCTCCTCCTCCTCCTCGTCCTCCTCCTCCTCCTCCTCCTCCCTCTGTTCCTCCGCCTCCTCCTCCTCCTCCGCCCCTCCTGCCCCTGCTTTGATCCCAGACATCTAATATCTAATGTTCTGATCCGTTGAATTCTTGGTTCCTGGTAGTCGTGCCTCCAGGCTGGCTTTTCATTCCGAGCTGATTGGTTCACGGACACAGAACCCGCAGGTGGCCCCCGGGAGGCCGAAAAGTGTGAAGACCCTGGCCTGTGTTTCCAAATCGTTGGGTGTCTGGCTTCTCGGCCCGTGACCCAGATCTCCAGCGGCTGGTCACCCCCCCAACGCACTCGGCGTGGCGCAGCTGCTGAGAGCATCCCGAGACCGGAAGATTTTTCCGACGGTTGGGACCCAACAGGATACTCTTGTGAGCTTGCCTGGGTCTTTCCTCCTGCCCACTCCTTCCTCCTGCCTCCTCATCCTCCTTTCCCTCCACCTTCTCCTGGCTGTTCCTCCTCCCCCTGCCTCCTCCCCCGAGCCTCATCCTCCTGCCTCCTCCTCCTCCTCCTCCTCCTCCTCCTCCTCCTCCTCCTCCTCCTCCATCTCTTCCTCCTCCTCCTCCTTCTCCTCCTCCTCCACCTCCTCCTCCTCCTACTCCTCCTCCTCCCCTTCTACTCCTCCTCCTCCCCCTCCTCCTCTTCCTTCTCCTGCTCCTCCCCTTGTCCTCATCGCGCCTCCTCTTCCTCCTCAATTCCTCCTCATTCTCCCTCCCCCTCCCCACCCCACCCCTCTCCTCCTCCTCCTCCTCCTCCTCCTCCTCCTCCTCCTCCTCCTCCTCCTCCTCCTCCTCCTCCTCCTCCTCGTTCTCCTCATCATCCATCATCATCATCATCATCATCATCATCATCATCATCATCATCATCATCATCATCATCATCATCATCATCATCATCATCATCATCATCATCATCATCATCATCATCATCATCATCATCATCATCATCATCATCATCATCATCATCATCATCATCATCATCATCATCATCATCTTCAGCCTCATCATCATCCTCATCAGCATCATCGTCATCATCGTCATCATCATCAGCAGCATCATCAGCATCAGCAGCAGCATCAGCATCAGCATCCTCAGCAGCAACATCTTCGTTATCATCATCATCATCGTCATCATCATCATCATCAGCAGCAGCATCAGCATCGTCATCGTCGTCATCAGTATTAGCATCAGCATCAGCATCATCATCATCAACAGCATCCTCATCATCAGCATCATCATCAGCAGCATCATCAGCAGCATCATCATCATCAGCAGCATCATCATCAGCACCAGCACCAGCATCATCAGCAGCATCAACAGCATCAGCAGCATCATCATCAGCAGCATCAGTATCATCATCAGCATCATCATCAGCAGCACCATCATCACATCATCATCAACAACAACATCATCATCACCATCATCACCATCAGATCATCATACCATCATATCATCATACCATCATATCATCATACCATCATATCATCATCATAATCATCATCATCATCATCACCACCACCACCACCACCACCACCATCATCATCATCATCACCACCACCACCACCACCATCACCATCACCATCACCATCATCATCATCATCATCATCATCATCATCATCATCATCATCATCATCATCATCATCATCATCATCATCATCATCATCATCGTGCCTCCTCTTTCTCCACCTCCCCCGTCCTGCGTCCTCAGTTCTCCGTCCTCCGTCCTCCATCCTCCTCCTCCTCCTGCTCCTCCTCCTCCTCCTCCTCTTCCTCCTTCTCCTTTTCCTCCTCCTGCGCCTCCTCCTCCTCCTCCTCCTCCTCCTCCTCCTCATCCCCCTCCTCCTCCTGCTCCTTTTGCTTCGGCTCCTCCTCCTCCTTCCCATTCTCCTTATCATGCCCCCTCTTGGGGCCGCCTGCCTCCTCCTGGGGCTTCCTGTTGCCTCCAATGGCCTCCGGGTGCTCCTGGGACCTCCTGGGACACCCGGGGCCTCGTGGGGAATCCCTGGGGCCTCTTGGGGCCTCCCGTGGACTCGTAGGGAGCTCCTGGTGCCTGCCAGAACTTCCTAGTGGCTCTGGGGCCTCATGGGGCGTCCTGCGGTGCTTCGTGTGGCTTCCTGGAAACCCTCCGTGGGGGGGGGGTCCCGCGAGGCTCCACTTCTAAACTGCATCGACATTGCTGTGTAAGCGAATGCGTGCGTATGTGAATGCCTGAATGTGTGAGTGCGTGCGATAATGACGCAAGTGACGATTACGATGGTGATGACGGTTGTGATGACGGTGACGATGATGGCGATGAGGGTGCTGTTGGTGATGGCCATGATGGTGACGATGATGGCGAAGGTGATGATGGTGGTGGCGGGGATGACGAAGATGATGATGACGATGGCGGTGATGATGGCGGTGGTGATTCAATCATTCGTCCCCCGTGCGATCTCCATGGCCGGCACAAGGTCAACACAACAAGATTGATTAATAACCTGGAACTCGGGTCTGTGGGCACTGACCCCTCACGGCCACTCAGAACATGCGTCTGAACTCCCCGCGCGAGAAAGAGCACAGCCACTGATCTGGCACTCCGTGGCACGGGCCCCCTTGAGCGAAGCCCCCCGCAGGGGCCCAAGAAGCACAAGGAGAAGGATGTGAGCTATGCTCGGGGCCCTCGGAGACTGACTTCACGGCGCCGTTCGCGCCAGTGTCGCGACTGGAAAGCCAGCAGAGTTCGAGGAGCCCCCGGCTCTGAAACAATTCTGACCTCCAAGATCTCTGGAATCACCGGGGCGAGAGAGGTCGGGAGAGGGAGGTCGGAGGATGGAGGTGCGCGAGAGCGCGGAGAGGGGCACAGCCGCTCTGACACCCGCGGAAAGCGTCGGCGCAGGCCGCGGCGGCGGCGCCTGTCCGCGGAGCTACTCTGGTTCCAGCGCCGCCGCCACTGGCCAAAGAGACTGCGGGGGGAAGGGCTCCCTCGGATTTCGCGCGGCAACACTGAGAGGAAGGCCTCGCTCCCGAATGTGCATACATTCCATGGGCTGGGTCTGGTGCTGTCCCGCGCTCATAAGACTCTGACCTCCGCGCGTTCGGACCCTTGGGGGCCTGCCGGCTCTCCTGATGCCCCCCTGGGCCTTCAGGATGCACGACTGGATCTCTACCGCCGCAGTGCGCAGCTCTGGGGCCGTGAACAGGTTGATGCGAACCGCGCCGTCGCGCCAGTTCGCATGGCGGAACGACTTCTTCTGGTCGCAAGCGAAAGCTTTGTCCTCGAGATCTGTCACGCTCTGGGCGGCCTGGGAGCGCGCCACCACGTTGACCTTCGCTTCCGCTGGGGTCGCCCAGTCTCGATCGAGAGGCACAACCCAATCCGCGCGTGAACGTGCGCCTACGTCATCTGCGCCAACGCCTCTGGGTTGCTGCTTCGCTTCCTGGAACCGCACTCCCGACTCCCTCGCCGCCTCGAACTGAGCGCTCCCCGGCCGACCCAGCGCCGCGATCTCGAGGCAACCCGCGACGCGGCGGGACATCAGGTAGAGCCCGCCCGCGGTCTTCGGCCGCGCCCACCACCGCGTTGCGAAGCTCCTCCACAGAATTGCCTCCCGCTGTTCTCCTCGCCTGGGCCCTGCCGTCTCCTGCGCGCGGTGCGCCGGCTGCCGCCTGGGCGCCATGCCGCGGCATCGCCTCAAACTCGTGGTCCGGCGGGGGGCGCAGGAACTGCTGGGGCGTCGCACTCTCTCTGGAAATGACAAGCGAAACTCGCGACCGCCCCGAACCGCAAAACGCTGCCTCGCGTGTCCTTGAAGGACGGGAACGCCAGTGGCCTAATTCTGTCTGAATGAACACGCGAGCGACGCCGGCTGCTTAAGCCCCGAGAGCCCCACCGACGCACTGCCGACGCGCAGTTTGGGACGCGCGCGCCGTTTCGCGCGTGCTTCGACATGGGGGCGACGCGAGTCGAGCGAGCTGAACGCACTGAAGCACCAACTACATAGATCCGAGAGTACCTCTGGGCCTACCAGGTACGAGTCGTTGATGGGCGCGTCGTTCGTGGCGTTACACGGCGCGCGGGAATTTCAAATGCCTGCGTGCGTGCACCACCCGTGCGCGCGCAGTCAAGTGGGAAACCGCTGAAACCACGGTCCTCGAGACCAGGGGGATTTTGCGCACTCGTTCATGCTCGTGCGAACGCGCGTAGGTGAGCCGATCAGGAGGGATGCCTTGTCGGGCAGGAACAAAGCGACCATCCCTCTTTCCCGGAGCGCCTCGCGCGCGCGAGACTGGGCGCGACCCTGCGCGTCCAGGTCGCGACGGGACTCTCGGAGAAATGGATTGCAGCAGCGGCGCGGGCGACCAGCAGACGCGAGCTGCCCGGGAGCTTCACCGCCGACGGGGGCCCGTCAACGCTGCCAAGAGACACTGGTTTTCTGCGGCTCCTGAAGACGCCGAAAAAAGCGCCGTGCTTTCCAGCTCGGGCATGGAATTCCTGTCTGGCTCGCGCATTCGCCCAGGCACGCGGCGGCCCACCTCCTCCAGCCCGCCCTCTCGCTCACAGATTACATTTTGCATTGGAACTCGAGAGCGGGGCTCGTCAAACCGGTCTTCCGCACTCTTTGAGCGCCCGTAGTTTGCCCCCCACCCCCCACCCCTCCTGATCGCGTGGCCCCTCGAGCCTTGCTCTGATTGGCCTCGCGGTTTAGAACCCATTCCCCACTATTGGAACAGAGAAACGTCGCCGCCTGTCCACTCCGACGTTCAACGATGTGATTCGAGTCGACGCCCGGCGCGCCGCCGATCACGCTGTCGAGGGCGTTGTGGGAGACAGAGGCAAAGGCGTCAGCCAGGTCATCAAAGGGTCTTATCAAACAAACAGCGCCCGAATGGGGGGCGCCGCCGCTGCGCGCCACGCATCTGCAAGATCGACTGTTCGCGCCTACGAAAATATTGATTTCCAATCGAATAGTTATAAGTATGAACGTTTCGACAAGAGCAGAGTGCACAACAATCTGATTTGCCGGCGGGCCCAGGAGGTGGATGACGAAATCGGCATTACACTTAGTCTTTCCATTCCCCTTGTGCATGGGGCAGGCCTCGCTGGACGATGTTCGGCGTTCTCGTCTTCGTCGCGCGGCAAAGGGCTGCATAGACAGGTTGGAGAAACGGCCCCCTCGGAGATGTCTCTGGCATGCGCAGGCGCTCCTGCGACTCCTCAGCCAGATCTCCCAAGGAATTAAACCAAAAAGGCACTTCCTATTGTGCTCTGGAATTTGCGAGGCTCCGCGCCGTTCACCCGGGGTCCCCAAGAGCTTCGGCGCGTTGACTCACGAGTGGCTGCAAGTGTCGCCAATTCACGCGGCCTGGCACCAGGTGGGCGCAGGCCGTGGCGGCGGCGCTGGTCCGCGGAGCCACCCCGGTTCCAGCGCCGCCACCACTGGCTGCGCAAGCACCCGAATAATAATAATAAGAAGAAGAAGGCGAGCTTGCATGCCTCTGCGCCTGCACGGCCATAGAATAGCAACGTGCATGAGCATCGCGAGTATATATCGTGCAGCATTGGCGATACCGATCAATTGTTCATCCGTTCCGCGTAACACCGATGAAGCACACATGCCGCCACCTGCTCTTGGAAATTCGAGATCATCCATCCACCCTTGACATGTCCGCGGTTTCGACGATATCCAGAAAGGTATTTGCGCTTCTTGGGGCCGCGCTGGGTACCTGCCGACTTGCGACTCAGATTCCACGCGCCCTCCATTGATTCAAATCTCCTGTTCCTGTCAGCTCCGCGGCCCAGCTGTCTTGTGCTCTACGATATCTCCGTGTCGCAATTTACGAAGGCGTTCGAATACCTAAACAGAATTTGCCGCCACACGCTTACCGTGTACATCATCGGCCGCGGTGGCGGCGCCGCTCCGCGGAGCTAGTAGCACTCCGAATCCAGCGCCACCACCACTGGACCAACAAACTGCAGGGGAAAAGATTCCCTTCCATTGTCGCTGCCAGAGCTCAGCACGTGTATCCCTGTAGCGCTGGTGGGTCGTCTGCGTGTCCTTGGCGATGGAAAAAGTGTGGCGTGTGTGTCCGTAGCGCTTCGAAGCCACCACGCAAAGACCATAGCGTATCAGCTGCCATCCGTCGTCCACCAAGCCACACATGCAACATGTGCGTGCTGTATTACGCGTTCAAGATTGCAATGACCATTCTTCCAAATCGTAATCAAATTTCAGTTGGCCGGCCAATTTGCCATGATTTTGTCGCGTTCCCACCGGAGGGCATCAGCGGCTGGTGCTTCGTGGCATTGTGCGCATAAGAAGTCCAGGACGAAGGTGCAGTGGTCGATGTACCGAAAGGCAGCACGCGTCGATGTTGAAAATTGCAGCCTGAATCCTTTACGATACCAAACCCTGATCTGTCGCACCTTGTGCATAGCCGTCTTCGCGCTAGCAATGTAATCCACCCTCGTACCAGAGGTACCAGTCCAAAGAACGTGGGGCCAGCGCCGTCGAAATCGTGGGTACAGCTGAACGCCATGTGGTGCTGATTCATCAGGTTACGCCGCAGGGTGCCTGAAGAGGTCTCCGCTGCAGGCTGCGCCAGTCCCACGGCATCTCCCCCATGCACTGTTTGTAATGGACTGCCTATATTCACACGCCCACAATGAAATTTGCCGTCGCACATCAACATACTTAAGGGTACACCGTAATGATGATGACGACGATGATGATGATGTTGCTGATGGTGATGGTGATGGTGATGTGGGTGTGCTCCTGTTTTCCTGGACGGGGATATCCGGATAAATCAACGCACCCCCATCAGGATGTGGAGAACAAGGAACCCATTTGGGACATGGGATGATCATGCCCAGTCATGGCATGGTGCTGTGTGATGACGATGATGTTGTCAGTGTGTGGCAGGGTTTGTGAAGTGTTAGGATGTGGAATGATCATGACAAGATGCTCATGGCATGATGTTGACTCAGGACTATTCTGTGGTGTGTGAGATGGGGTGAGGACTGCGCGGGGTGTGTCTCAGGCGAACTCCATTTAGGACGTGGGGAATGGCAACGGACCTTACGGAAACCTCCGGGGACCTCGCAAACGGAAAGGCCCCGCCCTGGCGCGCGGAGCGCGCCAGGGGCAGCGCCAGAGGCGCCGCCAGGGGGGCCCAGCGCGGATCCAAGAAATCCGCGTTGAGCGCCAAGAGTTTATGTGTATGGCGTTCTTTCTTCTTCGAGGTATGGGCACCTCGTCCCCCTCTGGAAAAAACCAGGCGGCGGCGGAAGCCACGGAGGATGATCCTGCCGGCCGCGCCGCGGCCGATCGCGGTCGCCGCGGCCAGCCGCGCGGCCGTGGCCCTGCGCCCCGCGGCTGTCGCTCCTGCCGCGCCAGCGGGGAGGAGTGGGGGGGAGGGGGCGCGGCTCGCTCTCTCGCCATCGCTCGGACGTCCATTCCCTGTGTTTTTTTCGGTTTCGTGCGTGGTTTTTTCGCCAAATGATCAAGGATGCTCCTCGATGGTCCTCGCCTAAAGGAAAAGGCACACGTCCGAGCGATGCCAAGCTCTCGGCGGCGGGCAGGTGGCGAACGTTTTCTGACTCCGCGTCTCGACCTTGGGCGGAAGGGGTGGGGGGGGGGCTCTGGCTGGCCGGGCCCCTGCTCTGCCTGCAGCAGTGCGTCCCCTGGGGGAGGCTCCATCTGCCGGAGCCAGGCGCCCGAGACAGCCAAGATCTACAGCCGGAGCGTTGACCCAAGGAACCCTAAATAAGGAACGAGGCCCCTTCTATCCACAAGTTGAACTTCGATTTCCCATCGAAAACCAAAAGAAACCAAAGGCAAACTGTGAAGCAATCGAGGAACACGGAGCCCCTCCCCAACGAAAAGGGTTCCTTCTTCAGGGCCCCGACTGTACTCCATGGGGGGAGGGGGGGGTGCAAGGGCCCGCGCCGATCTGCAGAACGACGCATGAGAAAACCACCGCGTGAAGGGGTCGATATTCGAAGATCGAAGGTCGAAGTTCGAGGATCGGAGGAGCATGCAGTCAACCCGTGTGAGAAGGACGCACGTCAAGGACGCAAGGGCCTTGGGAGGCCACGCCGACACTTTGCGAGTGGGGCGCGGCCCGCGACAATAGCCAAGGATGGGCCGAAGGGGAAGGATGCACGGGTAACCTTGGAAAGTCGCTCATCCTTACTACGCGGGTTGATTGTACTAAATTAGAAAGGGAACGCATCGAGATCGATGTTCTAGGATCGAGATTCGAGGATCGAGAGGGGCAGGGAGAATGATCGAGATTTGAGGATCGAGGATCGACTTCGGTTCCGGTTTCTGCCCCCTCGTCTTGGCCCCCCCGTCGCCACCGCTGCACGCGCCTCGAGCCACTGGCCAGAGCGCACCCGTGGATAGGTGGGCGGCTTTTGTTTGCCTTTTGAGTGGAGTTCGAAGACCGAACTCAGCGAAAGAAAAAAACGCCACAAGCATAAAACCTTTGGCGCTCCGCGCGGATTTCTCCCGGATCTGCGCCGAACCCGAGGCGCCGCCGTGGGGGGCCCAGCGCGGATCGAAGAGATCCGCGCGGGGCCGCAACCGTTTACTTGTTGTATGACGTTTTTTTTATTGCTCTTCTTCGAGAGCTTGGCCCGCCCACGGCAAGCTTTGGGCAGCTCGGCGTTTTTGAAGGGGCCCTGGGACACACAAATGAATACACACACAAATAACTGGATTCCCCATCTGTTCCTGTATTTTCTGGGTCTTTGTCTTCCCCCACTCCCCACATTTTCCCATATTTTCTGGGGAATCGACGATGAATTGTGTCTGTGTGTTTTTTTCCCTCCTGAGTTTTACAGAAAAGCGTTGTCCGACCCGCCTAGCCCACCGTGCTTCTGCCTCGCCCGAGCGGGGGGCTCGTGCGTCCTGGTGGTCCCCGGGTCCCCGTCCCTTCGCGTCCTCGACGAACCTGGCCATCGCTCGGACGTCCATGTCCTGTGTTTTTTTTCGGTTTCGTGCGTGGTTCTTTCGCGAAATGATCAAGGATGCTCCTCGATGGTCCTCGCCGAAGGAAACATGCACACGTCCGAGCGATGCCAGGGAACGACGGCATGATCCACAGGCGAACGGCTGGACCTAAGACAGAAGAACATCCTCTTCAAGATCATGAGACTCGGCGGCGAGCGAGGGTGGGAAATGAGGAGGAGAAGGCCTTCTCGGAGGGCGGTGGCGCTTCTCCGAAGCCCTCGCGCCTTCTGAGAAGTTGTACGTGTCTTCGGGAGAGGCTCAGGAAGCTTCTCAGAGCCTTCTGAGAAGGCCTTCTCCTGCTCATTTCCCCCCGGGCTCGCCGCCGAAAGACAGCAGGACAGCCTTTTCATGAGACCCTCCGCCGGCCAAAACACACACACACACACACCATGATGCACAAGAGCGTCCAATAAGCACGAGGAGCATCAGGGTGCCCTTCCCGAACCGACCTCGATCTTATGCCTCGACCCGACCCTAAAGATCAGGCACTGGGACACGAACAACACACAGCAGGAACACACGTGCGCAGCACGCACACGTCACGTCCCCAGGATGCCCTAGGAGGCCCCCGCGAGGCACCCCGAAGAGGCCTCCAGCTAAGCCTTGCGAGGCTGAAGACTTGGAGACCTGTCGCCGTTTGCGAAATCAACGCCGGCCAAAAGAGAAATGCCGAAATGACCGCCGCCACACCCCGCACCTCAAAATTGACGGGCGACCGCGCTAGAACCGTAAAATGTTGCGAAAAAAACGCCCACTCTTGCGAGGAGCCAATCGCTTCCCGTCAATCCTGAAATGCGGGGGCGTTTGAAGCCAACCCGTGCGAGAAGGACGCACGATCAGGACGCAAGGGCCCTGGAAGGCCACGCCGACACTCTGCGAGCGGGCGCGGCCCGCGAGAGCGGCCAAGGACGGGCCGACGAGGAAGGATGCAAGGGCAACCTTGGACAGTCGCTACTCTTCACCTCTGCGAGGAGGAGGAGGAGGAGGAGGAGGTGGAGGAGGAGGAGGAAGTGGAGGCGGAGGAGGAGGAGGAGGAGGAGGCGGAGGAGGAGGAGGAGGAGGAGGGGGAGGAGGAGGAGGAGGCGGAGGAGGAGGAGGAGGAGGAGAAGGAGGAGGAGGAGGAGGAAGAGGAGGAGCAGGAGGAGGAGGAGGAGGTTGACTGTACCGGGACCCGGCACGGGCGCTTCCTTTGCACGCGGCGGTCATCTTCGGACGGCGCGCCGTCGCGCGCTGCGCTCGGGCCGGGCCCCGCGCTCGGCGCGCCGAGGCCCTGCGCCCCGCGGCCGAAGAGCGCATGCTGCAGCAGGGCCGCCCTGCCGAGGCAGCGCCGCGCTCGCGTCGGCATCGGGCGGCCCGGATCTCGGCATCGCTCGGACGTCCATTCCCCGTGTGTTTTTGTCGGCTTCGTGCGTGGCTTCTTCGCCAAAGGAGCAAGGACGCTCCTCGATGGTCCTCGCCGAAAGGAAACATGCACACGTCCGAGCGATGCCAAGGGATGTTTACGGGCACGGGCTTGTAGACTCGCCTGCGCATGGCACGGTGCACCGCCGGGGTGGACTGGAGAGGGCGCGCGAGAGGCCCCAGGCCCGTCCGGAGGCCGCGGGGGCCACGGGAGCGTGGCAGGCGGGGGTCGCGGAACAAAGGACGCACGAGCACCCTTGACTTGGCAGGGTCGACGTGCGAATCAACCTCGACGGCAGTGCGCGTGCGTCAACAACTGAAAAGACTGCACTGGCACGTTGCTCCCTCAAGCTCCCCCCGCGGCCGGAACGGGGAGCGACGAGCACTTCAGCAGCACCGGGGAGCCAGCTTGGCTGAGCCATGACCTCCGAAGGCTCAAGGCGCAAAGCTCTGGCCACCTCCTTGAGGCGACTGCGCCATGCGCGGGAGGTCATCTGTTCCCAGGGGGACAGGGCGTGGCCTCCCCGTTACAATCTTCCTCTTCGTATGCCTTATCGTCTCTGATCAATTCTGGCCAGGGCCCGGGCCAAACAATGTCTTCCGTTCTCGTCTCCACTTCTGCTGCAGAACGAGGCCGGAACGAAAACGGCCCACCAACTTGCCGACACACCGTTCAGCTCGAGCCCTGCTGCTGGCACGGTGGAGCCCCATCCCCATCCATTGGGAAGCTGGCAACTCTCAGGCACCCTCCCCATGCGTGCCTGCTCCGGGACTCGCGCCAACGCGGGACCCGGTGGACGTCCTGGAGATCCTCGTCCGCTCCTGGAGATCGCCTGTGGCCGTCCCGGAGATCGGAGGTTTGCTGTCGCTCCTGGAGATTCTCGTCGGCATGGCTGGGCACAGCTCAACGAACAGGCCAGCATGGACCCCAGGGGCAGATTTGGAGCACACCGTAAGAGGTGGAGAGAGAGAGAGACGACAAGGAATGCAAATCTTTTCTGCGATTCAGTGGCTCACGGAAGAGATAGCAGAGGAGCGAGTTGCTGCTGAGAAGTCCTGCGAAACCGCTGGCCAAAATCTGCATGTCCCGAACCGCGGGACTCGTCGTAACCGTCGCCCCCTCGTCTTTGGCGAGACCAGGAGCCCCCAAAACTGCCGCGCATCCCGTCTCGTGAACGGCTCCGTACAACCATAACCGCTCAGCCGATTGATGGTGCAAGTTGGCCCACTCTGACAAGCAGAGTCGTCGCGATGTGCTCGGGCAACTTGAGCCAAAAACGAAAAGGCAAGGTGACATTCACGATTGATGATGATGATGCAGATGTTGATCCTCCAGAGCTCGGACATTAACCCGCTGAATAGTCGACTCCATAACCCGCTAATAGTCGACTCCCTCGGCAGAATCGTAGAAGAGTGGAGAAGTGTCGTTGTTGAATACTGCCGCATCGCAGTTCGGGAATGACGACAGACAGGGTCGACAGATGACTCAGAGAGAAGGAAAGCAATAACGAGAAGGAGAGGAGAGAGGGAGAGAGAGAACAACAGAACAACTGAAAAACAGCAATAGCAAGAAGGGGGATGCCAAACAGAGCCAGACTCGTCAGCCCCACATGTTCCCTGCGGGCATGCCAATCCGATGATCCTGCACTACATACGAACAATATCAGACTGCGGACCCCACTGGATTGCAAGTACACCGCCTTGAAAATGGCTCCCTACCTGAAGGCTGCATCAGATACTTTTGTTCTCGACTTCGCGTGGCCTCATATCCACTTCCAGATCTCCCCTGGGGAACGTTCGAACAGAATTTCGACCACTAATCTACTGTGGCGACGAGAAGCATCCCAGTGGGCCAGAGATAACGAGATGCGCACAACAACCAACTCGGTGCTCGAACCTCGAATCTCGTGTGTACAGCTGCTTCTACTGGCGACGCGACAATCGGGTCGAACCAGAGGGAGGGATACAGTAGGAGCTCGACCACAAGAAACCCAACCCTGAAACGCCAGGACGTCCATTGATTTCAAGTGTGGGAGCTTCACGCCTTCCACCGCAACACCATCGAAACCAAAGCGACCCGGGGCACCCTGGAGGCAAGCAGGCGGGCTTCCTGGCATGGGCCCCCACTGCTTAGCGGGCGAAGAATGGTATAACATAAACTTTTCCGTCGCCGGGGGCGCTGCCCCAGGGCGGCTGGAAAGTTTATACTTTGACGTGTCACCGTAGGGGTCTAAACTTTCCAGCCGCCCTGGGACACGCGCCCCCGACAGCGAAACAGTTCATCTTGTACCGCTCTTCGCGTCGAGGACTGCAGCAGGGAGGAGGAGGCGGAGGAGGAGGAGGAGGAGGAGGAGGAGGAGGTACCCATTCTTTCCGTACCCATTTCGGGCGTCCAGACCTGTCCTCTCTCTCTCTCTCTCTCTCTCCGTGTGCGAGCGGGGACTGGAGGGCTCCGCGCAGGCCACGCGCCGCGGATGGCGCGGCACGGCGAGCCCCAGCCACGACTGTGTGGGCCAGTGCGCGGGCGACATCTGCGGAAGGTCAAGAGATCAGGCATGTACTTCCTTCCTCCTCCTCTCCCCTCCTCCTCCTCCTCCTCCCCTCCTCCTCCTCCTCCTCCTCCTCCCCCTCCTCCTCCTCCTCCTCCTCCTCCTCCTCCTCCTCCTCCTCCTCCTCCTCCTCCCCTTCCTCCTCCTCCTCCTCCCTCCTCCTCCTCCTCCTCCTCCTCCTCCTCCTCCTCCTCCTCCTCCTCTTCTCTTCCCTCCTCCTCCTCCTCCTCCTCCTCCTCTTTCCTCCTCCTCCTCCTCCTCCTCCTCCTCCTCCTCCTCCTCCTCCTCCTCCCTCCTCCCTCCCCTTCTCTTCCCCCTCCTCCTCCTCCTCCTCCTCCTCCTCCTCTTCCTCCTCCTCCTCCTCCTCCTCCTCCTCCTCCGCCTCCTCCTCCTCCTCCTCCTCCTCCTCCTCCTCCTCCTCCTCCTCCTCCTCCTCCTCCTCCTCCTCCTCTTCGTGCTACCACCAGGAGCACACCAGACGAAATGCAGGGGCTCTCTGGCCACGGCGAGCCCGAGTCCGCAGGGCAGGCCCCGCGACGGAAGCCCACGGCCCGAGGCCCTCCCGAGCCCAGCGCGGTCCCTGCGCGTGCTGCCTCCCGCGCCTTGACCGCGCGAGGGGGGCGGCACCCGGTCCTCGACGGGGGTGCGTCCGAAGTGCCCCCTCCCCCCCCCCCAGGGGGCAGGGTCGAGAAACTGCCAGAAGGAACGCTCAAGAGGGAATGAAGCCCCTTTCTGGCAGCGAGCCCCTTTCCGAACCCAAACGGTTCCTTGTTTCAGCGTCTTGACTGCACGATGGGGGCGGCGCCAATCCTCGATTGGGGTGCGTCAGAACCCCCCCCACCCCCCCTGGGGAGTATCGGCGACGAGCGAGGGAGGGAAATAAGCAGGAGACGGCTTTCTGAGAAGTCGGCGGGACTTCTTCGAAGCTCTCGCGCCCTCTGAGCAGTTCTCCGCGTCTTCGGGGAAGGCTTAGCAGACTTCTCAGAAGGCCTGGGGACTTCCTAGCCTTCTGAGGCTCGCCCCTTCCTCACTCTCCCTCTGGGCCTGCTGCTGATAGGGTGCTCCCTGCTGGAGGAACCAGAAGTCAACGATGCCGATGCTCCCCGGACCTCTCCTGGGGTGCGTTCGGACGAGGATTCCGAGGCGAACCCAGCGGTGGCGACGAGGGACCCCCAGGAGGCCGAAAAAGTCGAAGGGCCCGTGCCCGCGGGGCACATCCGTGCTCGACGTGACCGCGGCACTCCGAGGGGCGAAGGCTTGGAGCTCTCCTCGATCCCCCTCCACCTCTTCGATACTCATCCTCCTCGATCCTCCTCCTCCTCCTCCTCCTCGAACCCCCTCCTCCTCCTCCTCGATCCTATTTTTCCTCCTCCTCCTCTTTGATCATCCTCCTGCTCCGCCTCCTCGATCCTCCTCCTCATTGATCCTGCTCCTCGTAGATGCTGCTCTTCCTCGATCCGCCCTCCGATTGGCGAAGGGGGAACCCACGGAGCAAAAGAACGCGCGTCTGGATGGTGATCGGAAATCCCCGGCTTGCCCAAGCTGGCCCTTGATGCCTAGAAATGGCTCCGCGAAGGCCTCCGGAGGCCCCGAGAAGTCCGAAGCGTCCTTCGGCGGCCCCTCGATGCCTGGAGAGAGCCGAAGGCAAGTGAAAGACTCACTGCTCGATGGTTCGCCGAATCCTGTGTTCCGCGCAAGCGCGGGCTGTTACGCGTCGGTCACGGGGTCTGCTTTTGGCGCCCTGGTCCGCCAGCTCTGGGCGAGCGAGCTGCCGGGACCCAAGGAGGAAGCCCTGTTGTCACAGCCCAACCTACAAGCGACGACGCCGACGACAGCGACGAGGTCGACGAGGACGTGGTCGTCGTTTGGGATCTGATGTGCGCCTCTGGGAACTCTCGTCGCCACTGCTGGGTGAGGCTCGGAAAACTGGCCACGGCTTCGGGACTCGATTTAAAGCAAGTGTTCCCAGACCCCTGACGTCTGCTGCAAAGGACGCGCCAGCACCAATTGCAAAGTTCACGCGCGCGGCTGCTTAGGCCAACATGCGGCAGGCGGTGCAAAGTGGAACATTCACAAAACATCTACATGCGCTTTCCACAATTGGACACTATGAGAGCTGCGGCAATATGTTCAAAATGACGCATGCACCTCAACCTCTACATCCGCTGTCTCCCTCGCAACCTTGGCATCATAAGCGTTGCACTTGCGCGTGCTTGAGCGCGTGCTTGGCTCAATGCGGGAAAGAATTGCAGACACTGCCAACGAGCAAGGCTATTTCCAGCCTGTGGAGTCGGAGTAGCACTCCTCGGGCGCATCTTTTCTGCTCGCTCCCACTTTTCATTTGATCAGCACGGTCACGGTGCACACAAGTTTCTGCAGATTCCCGTCGCTCCCACTCTGATCACCCCCTGGACTGCACAAGCTCGGCTTTCAGACTGCACGGCGCCCCTCCCCTCTCCGCCCCTGCATGTCCAGTTCGTGAACCGCCAGGTCTGAGGCTGCCGTTAGTTCACTCGTGCATGTTTTAAACTAGCCGCCCAATCTCCCGCGATGGTCGACACCTTTGACAACGCCGACGTTCGTGGCAGGGAACGAGGTGACAAGGAAGCAACTCGTGGACCGTACACTCACAGCGCGCCGAAGGCTTCTCGAATTACACTCCCGTGCGGCGCGCCATGAGGGATCCGAATGGGCAGCCCGAGACGATACGCAAGACGTGTGCGCGCAGCGCAACGTGGGAACGACGAATATCCTCCCTCGCACAATGACGGCTGACATGCGATACCCGCCTCCATGTCGGCACACCTCTCACACGCTTCGTGGCCCCATACTCAACTTCCCTCATGAAGCGTGGGGGGACAAACGTCGTGGGGGATACCATGGCGGCGAAAATTACCCCAGGGCCAATTTCTCGCGCCGGCGAAAAATACAATGCCCAAGGGCCAGCGAAAATGATTCAGCAGTTTAGGGCCGCTGCTGATAATGGTGATGGTGGATATAATGAGGGTCATGATAAGTTTGATGGTGAACACGAAGAGATTATGTTGATGACGGTGACACGAAAGGAAGGGCTGTGCTGGACGCGGGCGTCTGATAGTATCAACATCATCATCGTAATCATCATCATAGTCATCAGCATCAGCACCAGCAGCAACAGCATCAACATCATCGTAATCACCATCGTATCAGTATCATCATCGTCAACACCATCATCGCAATCAGCATCGTCGTCGTCATCATCACGGTAGTCATGTGATTCCCCCCCCGTCCGCCAATCCTCATCCTCATCTTCATCATCCTCCCAATCACCCTCATAATCCCATGTTCATTATCGTCGTCGTCATCATCACCATCGTCGTCATCATCATCCTCGTCGCTTCGCACAGCTGCCACCGACATTGCCGAGCTGGCACGGCGGCAGGACTTGCCGCAGGCACTTAGCGCGGGGCACACACAGTGCGCGAGTGCGGTAGCTGCAGAATGGACGAACACGCATATGACGAACGTACCAACAACTATCGACCTTGCGAGCAAAATTTACTCGGTGGCGCCAGCAAATATTAAGCAGGCATGTTGCGAGGGCCGGCGGGAAAGATTCCTCGGAGACCAACGCCGGCGAGAATTATGTTGAGGCCAAAGAATGCGAACTGTGAAATTACACCACCCAAGTTTACTGAGGGAGATGGACTAGGGCTCCACTGAAGGCCCCAATGGCAGGGCTCACATGCGGTACCCGCCCTCATGTCGGTACACCCCTAACACGTTTAGCGGCCCCGTGGAAAGCTACACCCAAGGCCCCCCCAGTCACAAGGCATGCATGCGGTACCCGCCCCCATGTCGGCACACCTCTCACACGTTCCGTGGCCCCATGTGGAGCTCCACCGAAGGCCCCGGTGGCAGGGCTGGTATGCGGTATCCGCCTCTATGTTGGCACACCCCTAGCACGTTTAGTGTTTAGTGGCCCCATTAGGGGGCTCCACCGAAGGCCCAAGTTGCAAGGCTCGCATGTGGTACCCGTCCCCATTTCGGCACACAACTCAGACGTTACGTGGCCTCATGAGGAGCTCCACCGAAGGCCCCAGTTGCAAGGCTCGCATAATTACGGTACCCGCGCCCTTTTGTTTCGGCACACCCCTCACCTGATCCGTGGCCCCACAGGGAGCTCCACCGAAGGCCCCAAAGGCAGGGCTCGCACGCGGCTCACCCCTCACACGTTACGTGGCCCCATACGGAGCTCCACCGAAGGCCCCAGTGGCAAGGTTCACATGCGGTGCCCGCCTCCATTTCGGCACACCCCTATTACGCTTCGTGGCCCCATAGGGAGCTCCAACGAAGGCCCCAAGCGTGACCGCACCAATTCGGGCACACACACCTTGCACGCTCAGTGGCCCCATAGGGAGCTCCACCGAAGGCCCCAGTGGCAAGACTCGCTTACGTGACCGCGCCCATGTCGGCACACTTCTCACACGTCTCGTGGCCCCATAGCACGGGGCGCCTCCGAAGGCCCCGCCGCATGCTGCCCCTCCGGGGCCGCGCCGACAGACGCACAGATCAGCCGTAACGGGTTACATCCAAATGCCACTCATTACGGCCGACCTCTGCGACACCATCAGCAACTTCGCTCCGCCCTTCCCACGCACGCCTTAGTCCTTTTGCTAGCACTGGCCTGAGTTTCCACCTGTCGTGCAGTGCTGGCAGCTGCACACAAGTGGGTCCTTCGCTAAGCATTTGTTTTCCACTACATGCGCGGTACCCAGACATCCCGACTCTTTCCCCAGGGCCGTTTTTTCATCCCGATTAAGTAATCGTTTGACGATCCCGGGGCCCAGCGAAAGCTTCTGGATGCCGACGGTGGCCACAAACCGTCCGTCGTTTCACGACGCGATCAGGTCTGCGTGTAGCCTTCTTCGGCAGCATCCGCAGAACTGGTTCCAAAACCTAGTCACCCGGCGAACCTCCCCTGACGTCCGACGTCAACAAACGTGCAACAGTGAAAACTCACGACCAGCCCCTAGACCCAATTTAGACTACAAATTTCGGCGCAAAGTTTCGAGACCGAATGATCTGCGAGGGTCCCGGGCCCCGAAATAGGGCGGAAACGCCCGGCCCGATAAAAACGAAGCGCCAAGATCTCAACGCCTTTGACGGCATCCGCAAGACTGCCTCCAACACCTGGTCACCCAGCGCACCTCCCAGAGAGGTGCCGCCACCTGTGGCATCTCATGGGAGCCTCCCGTACCACAGTGCTGCCTCCGACTGGTTGACGCTAGACGACGCCGGCCGGCGCTAATCAAAGTCAAGTCCAAGCCCGACCGACGCGAGATCAAAGTGTCTCTCATCGAGCACCAGACGCTAGCGCACGTCAGTGAATTCTAGACACGGGATGTCGAGGACACACGGGCTCCCATGAGCCAGGTCTCGAGGAGGAAGAGGAGGAGGAGGAGAAGGAGGAGGAGGAGGAGGAGGAGGAGGAGGAGGAGGAGAGGAGGAACATCTGGAGGAAGCAGTTGAGAAGGTTGAGTGGGCGACAGGAAGTAGGAGCAGGGAAGCTTCGGCGACTCTGAAAGGGTGTGGTCTGCAAAGGGTGTGGTTAGCAACTCGGACAAGGTTCTCCGCCGCGCCCCAATTTGAACAGGCACCGACAGTCCCGGCATTTCTATAGGCCTACCACGACATGTTCTTAGAACCCCAAGCTGTTCTAAGATCAGAAGCAATGTTCTCAGAGCATAAGCCCGATGTGTTAAAACAAGACAGTCCCAGCCAGAAAGGTTCTAAGAACATTCAAACCGTCCGTGGAAACCACAAAAAGGTTCTTAGAACATTGCTTGGTAGGTCCATAGGCACGCCAGGACGCTTCGTCACTGCTTGACCAACGTGGCCCGACGAGGGCAACGCTGTGCCCCCCGAGTCCATCGACGCAGATCGCAAAAACCACACCCGGGCGCAGCCACACCCTCTGTACAGTCGGGGCCCTGAAGAAGGAACCCGTTTCGTTGGGGAGGGGCTCCGTGTTCCTTGATTGCTGCACAGTTTGCCTCGGGCTTTCCTTTGGTTTTCGAAGGGGGAATCGAAGTTCAACTTGTGGATAGAAGGGGCCGCGTTCCTCATTTAGGGCTCCTTAGGTCAAGGCCCCGACTGCAGTCGCCGAAGGATGCCCTCTCTCCCCTCCGCTCCCCGCCTCTTCCTCCTCCTCCTCCCCGGCCGGCGGCGCCTCCGGGCTCTGCTCGCTCCGCGCCCGGCAGCCCGAGGGCAGCCCCGCCGCCCGCGGCCCCTCCGCGGCGTGGCCGCCGGCCTGCGGGCGCGCGCCGCGCCCGCGAGTCGCGCGAGGAGGGGCGGAGAGCGACTCGGCTGCGGAGCGACTTAAGGCTGGTCGTCGGCCCCTGCGCGCCCCCTGCATGGGGCGGCGGCCGCGCCCAGAGGCCTCCCGCAGAGGGGGCGCGCAGGCCAAGGCGCTGGCACGCTCGAGGCAGCTGCAGCCGTGGGTCCACGCAGCCCCCAGCATGCCTGGCTTCTGCCACCTCCTCCTCCCCCTCCTCCTCCTCCTCCTCCTCCTCCTCCCCTCCCCCTCCTCCTCCCCCCTCCTCCCCCTCCTCCCCCCCTCCTCCTCCTCCTCCTCCTCCTCCTCCTCCTCCTCCTCCTCCTCCTCCTCCCCTCCTCTCCCCCTCCTCCTCCCCCTCCTCCCTCCCCCTCCTCCTCCTCCTCCTCCTCCTCCTCCTCCTCCTCCTCCTCCTCGCTCCTCCTCCCCTCCTCCCCCTCCTCCCCCCCTCCTCCTCCTCCTCCTCCTCCTCCTCCTCCTCCTCCTCCTCCTCCTCCTCCCCCTCCTCCTCCCCCTCCTCCTCAGCCTTGGCGAGCGGCGAAGATATCCGCCATGCCCCGCATGCGCGCCCCTGCAGTCTGGATCCCAGGGCGCGACCCTGCGGATGCGCGGTCGCACGGGCACGCTCCGCGCGGGGCACCCGCGAGCAACGCTCCCCGTCTAAGCGGGGTCGTCGCGGCCCAGGGGCCCCGCCCGCGAGGCCGCGGAGTCTCAGACGTGTTCCGCCCACGACGCTCTTGGAGGCCTCCCGCATTGGGGCTCGAGTAGCTTGCGTCGGAGGGTCGCGCCGCATCGCCGACGCATCGGTGACGCATCGGCGACGCATCATCACCGATGCATCGGCGGTGCGGCGCGATCCTCCGACCCCGTCTGCTTCGACCCTATGTGGGAGGCCCACAGCTCTCGGGCCCCAGGGGTAATCCAGAATGGATTTGGGACGAAAAGCTAGCCCTGGGGAAAGGGACATTTGCAACGCGAGAATCTCAAATCAATGGCCACGTCACGGATTGGTCGCCGACCATTCAAATTGTCTGAGGCCCGCGCGTTGAACAGATGTGGAAGTGTGCGCATTAGATGCAACCAGTCGCGCCCATGTGCTACGTTGTACCCCTCTAGACGTCTGGAGCGGATGTCTTCTCGAGCGCGCGGCGGAAGCTGCAGCTGCAGGGAGCCACCTCAACAGACAAACAATGAAATCACATCTCCTGGCACTTTGTGCCCCGACCGTGATGCCTCGATCTGCTGGCTCTCCAACTCCATGATGGCGGCCTCGGCTCGGGACCTCAGACGGGCAACCACGATGCCACCATGTCAGACAGATTGCCTCTTGCTCGGAAGCTGCACATCCAACCGCGCCCCTCCGATGATGCTGCCCTGCTGCCTGCTTGCGCCTGTGTCCGGGCTTGCTGCCTGCTGTGCCCGTGACAGGCTCGACGGCGAGAACAATCGCCCTCTTCCTCTGCGGACGAAACCTCGCTGAACGACAATCCTTTCAACACCCCTCCCCCCTCATGTAATGCACCGGGCACTGCCACCGTTTCCTGTCCCTTTCCTAATTCGACTTGCTTGATGGAAGAACAGAGCGCGCTCGATCCTACAGGGAGGAGGAATGGGGAAGGGCAAGACGATGACGGCGCTATCTGTACGGGTGCAAAGTGTCGGACTCCGAGGGGGATCCCGTTGGAGAGGGGGCCCCCATCCGACAGCACACGCGTAGAGCCCCCCTTTGAACCCCACCCCGAGAAAGCTCCGATGACATGAGTATGGGTGCGAATTGTCGTGTCAAATCACGACTGCTCCGGAAGCGTCGGAGAAGACAGGGCCTGGACCCGCATCGCGCTCTTCAGGGCACGCGCAGACGCGAGAAACCTCTCTCTCTCTCTCTCCTCTGTCCCTGCGGCAGTTAGTACGCAGAAGGCGTCTATACACCACCACCGTGCCAGTCTAGGGCCATCCTGGGCCCTATGATGGTGTATACGCCGTCCTGGCCGCGCCAGGAGGGTATATACACCATCCTTCGGCCCAGGATGGCCCTGGTCTGGCACGGTGGTGGTGTATAGATGCCTTCGTCGGAGTTAAGTGAACAGCGGACGCGCGCGAAGGGGGCGAGGCTTCGCAGGGGGGGCGAGGCCCGAGGGGGAAACCTCCGCGGAGCGAGGACGGAGGCGGCGGGGATCTCCAGACGACCGGCGCCGGAGACGGCGTCGGACCCAGGGGGGGCTGCGGGAGGCTTGTCGCTCGACGGCGAGGAGGGGTGGCTGGGCGCAGGCAGAGCAGGAGGGAAGGGCAAAGGGAGGCACAAGACTGCAAGGGGGGGGCACGGGGGGGGCGCGGGCCGAGGGCGGAGGAAAGGGCAGGAGGCATCGCGCAAGGACAAAACGGGAAGTCGAGCAATCGGATCGGACGGAGCAGCAGGAAGCCAGGGAGAGAACGACAGCGAGGAGTCACCGCTCGAAGAAGGCGCCATCCAGAGGGGGGGACAGGAGAGAGGACGGGAGGGCGGGCAGGGCGGGGAGACGAACGAGGAGCGCGATGAGCTGAGGGCACGAAGAGGGACGATCGATTGAGCTGTCGAGCTCTCTCCTGATCCACCGTGGCACTCTTCGCGCCCTGCAGTTAAAACATCTGGCGGGGCCCAGCTTTGGTCACTTTGCGGAGTGCCACGCGCGTCAGATGACGCTATCGCCCCCCCACCTCACCCAGAGCCGAACCACTATCATAAGAACCGTTACATCAAGCGCGAAGCCCCCTTTGGGGGCCCCGAGAGCGCCTGGGTGCACGACGGGCGCTAGAGAGACAACCATGGAATGCCCTAAAGAACGAGCCTTTTTCCGAGACTAGACTAGTCCTTCCTTTTCGGAATAGCGAGCAAAGGCGGCATCAGCGGCCATCCTAGAGCTGCTTGAGCCCCTGCGTGTGGGGATGCGGATGCAGGGCCAAGGTCACTGACCGATCCTAGACCCGTCTGGGACGAACCAGGCTGATGAGCACAGTCAACCCTTAGAATAAGGACGTGCGATCAGAATGCAAGGGCCTTGGAAAGGCCATGTCGACACCTGGTGGGTGGGGCGCGGCCAGCGAAAGCGGCCCAGGACGGGCCGAAGTGGAAAGATGCAAGGGTGACCTTGGAAAGCTGCTGCTCCTCACCACGCAGTATTGGCTGCAAGAGGGGGGGAAGCGGAACAAGCTGGAACGAGAACACGGGGCCCCACACCCGACGGATTGATTCTTTCCGCGTGCGGGCCACAGGGGCCCTGACCTCTTCCCCAGCGGGGGGCAGTGCTTCCGTACATGGACATTATATTTGAACCCTGTGGCCCAAGATGCCCCCCACACCCCCCGAAATTAATTTTGATGGCGTGGCCACGGGGGGGGCGTGAGTGGACAGAAATATTCGAACCCCAAAGCACCGCCTTTACTGAGATCAACATTGATGTCGGGGGCGCGGGGGTGATTTAGAATCTCCCTCGAATGTGTACGGGTTCGAATATATTGTCCATCTACTGTTCGTCCTAGGAATTTGGCTTGTGTGGCCCCAGGGCCCAACCACAGCCCAGAGGGCCGAGAGGGAGGAACAACGCCAGGGTTCTCCTCAGGGGTGCGCTCTGGCCCGACTTGCGACGCGCATCGGGCAGCGGCAACGTCCACGGCGACAGCACGATCGGAGACCGATCCGCCAGGGAAGCCGCAGCCGACCGAAATCGACAGGCCGCAAGCAGCCCAAGGGGCGCAGCAGCAACACCGACACCACAGCCGACCGCTCCGAAACGAACCGACGGAGCGCAACCAACTGCGGCGCAGCCGAGCCGGCCGAACCGGGGGCACCCCTTGGAGGCCCAGGGAGGTCCAAAAACGCACCGAAAGCCACTGACCTTCTTTCTCGAACCTCCTTCCCGAGGTCTGCTGCCCAAGGAGGAGGAGCGGAGCCCAGCAATGCGTCGCCAAAGCGTCGGCCCGCTCCGCGTGCGGCAGCAGCGACGGCGCCGACGGCGACGTCGACGACAACGACGACGACGACGACGAGCAGCGCGATCGACGACGCCTTCTACGACGACCACGACAACGACTACCAACCACGACGGCCGCGACGACGTGGTCGTCGTCAGTGTCGTTACTGGTGGCTATCGTCGCCGTGGTCCACGACGTCGTCGTTGGAATCGACGCCGGCGTGGCCGGCGACGCCGCAGACGTGGACGGCGCGCGGCCCCCGATCGAGCGCCGACCATCGGCGCTCGGCGCCGTCGGCCTGCGCGCGGGCCTTCTCGAGCGAGTCGTCGAGGGCTGCGAGCTCCTCCTGAGGCCGTTTTCCCAAACCGTCGACGTCAATGCTCTCTGCCCCCCGCTCGCCCTGGACTTCAGCTCGGAAGTGATGAAAGAGGCCGCTCGTGATGCTCGGAATGCTATGTTGCGGAACTCACCTGACAGCCTCTTCTCGAAAGCCATCACGGTTCAAGGCATCGCTCAAGCTGGGGAGGTGCGGGGGGCAAGAAGACGGCGACGGCGACGACGAGGACGACGAGGACGATGGCGGCGACGACGGACGACCGCGGACGCCAGACGACGACAAGGACGACGAGGACCGCGGGGACGACGACGAAGACGAGAAAGGAAGACAGTAGACGCAAATGGATTGGCCCAGGTGCTGACCTGCCGACGACCATGACGACGACGCCGACGACGGGAACGACGTCGACGACGGACACGACGACGACGATCACGACGATGTCGACGACGACGGACGGCGGCCGTGACCAACGACGTCCGCTTTGGTGGGTGTGTGTATGTGTGTGCGTGTGTGCGCGTGTGCGTGTGTGTGCGTGTGTGTATGTGTATGTGTGTGTGTTGTGTGTGCGTGCGTGCGTGCGTGCGTGCGTGCGTGCGTGCGTGCGTGCGTGCGTGCGTGCGTGCGTGCCTGCGTGCCTGCGTGCCTGCGTGCCTGCGTGCCTGCGTGCGTGCGTGCGTGCGTGCGTGCGTGCGTGCGTGCGTGCGTGCGTGCGTGCGTGCGTGCGTGCGTGCGTGCGTGCGTGCGTGCGTGTGTGTGTGTGTGTGTGGTTGGGCACGGCGGCGACGCCGCAATGCACGGTGCCGACGCGGCGGGTACCTCGATCGTGTACCACCTCGCAGGGTCTTACAGTTACGCGCGTGTGCGGGGTCATGCACGGATTCGTCTATCTATGGATATCCGTCACCGTGCCTCTGGGCACGGAGTGGGCGCGTCCTCGGGTCTTCTGCCTCATTCGTGGAGCCGCAGTCCTCAACCCCGAGGAGTCTGGAAAGGGCCTGGCACCCGAATTTCCGAAGTCTCTTGGGGCTTGTCGCGTGCCCCCTGGTCTCCAGGGAGTGTTCTCGCGTGAGTTTGTCGAGCCCAGCAATGCCCGAAGACGGGCCAAGAGGGCCCCACGAACTCCCCCAGACGGTCCAAGAGGGCCCGGAGGCGCCGAAAGATCATCCCAAGACGCCCGAGATGACCCCAAGATGGCCCAAGAGGCCTCCAAGAGGCCTCCGAGAGGCCCCCGAGAGGCAACAACAATTGATGTTCAATAGGTTTTGAAGGTTGTTAGCGTTCTCGCCTTTTCGGCTTCCCGACGCTCCAAGGCGCAAGAGGCCCCCAAGACCGCCCCAGCGCCAAGAGGCCCCAGTAGGCCCCAAGAGGCACCCAGGAGACCCCACGAGGCCCAAAGAGGCATCGAAGAGGCCCAAAAGATGCCCCAAGAGGCCCAAAAACGGCCCTCAAGAGGCCTTCAAACTGCCTCCAAGAGGACCCCGAGTGGCCTCCCACGAGATTCCAACGAACATCCAATAGGCTCCGTACCCACAACTCAGGCACGGTGGCGGGATGGGCCGAAGGCCGTGATATATGTATAGATATGTGTGTTCATATATACATATATACATAGATATATACATACATACATACATACATACATACATACATACATACATACATACATACATACATACACGCCTACATACATACATACATGCATACATCCATCCATCCATCCATCCATCCATCCATCCATACATACATACATACATACATACATGCATGCATGCATGCATGCATACATACATACATACATGCATGGGTACACACACCTATATATATATATATATATATATATAGATGGGTACGCATACGCATGTGACAGCTTCCCAGGCACCTAATCATGAGAGAAAGGGGGGGGAGAGAGAGAGGGAGAGAGAGAGAGAGACAGAGAACTAGAGACAGAGAGAGAGGGAGAATGCGAGAGAGGGTCGGAGAGACTGAAGCGCTGAAAAGCGGGAAGAGAGAGAGAGAGAGAGCGGGACAATATACAGTTATGGATACATGATGATATACTTACGTCATAGATCAAAGATACATGTGAGGGTTCTGTAACCCTTCTGGGGGGCCCAAAATCATACAATCAAAGAGTCAGTCTGCTTGATTGGATGTCGGCGGGGGAAGGAGAAGAAGCGCATAGTTTGAACATAAATACGCCCATACAAGAGAGGGGATGGATGAGGAGGGCCTTTCCTTCGCGCGGGATTTTCTGTTTTTTTGGAGAGTCACACAGATTATGTGCTCCACATTGGATGTGAGGGTCTTTCCATGGCAGACCCAAATTCCATAGATGATGCTCCACGGAACCAATGACACGACAAAAAATGCGAAACTACCCAAAAGTCAAATCGTTTCCGGTGTCTAGCAGAAATCTGGACGTGTGGGGTGGGGGGCGGCGTGGGCGGGAAAGCCTGCCAAGAGTGTGTTGCCCGAAAACCGCGCTTCCTTGATGTTTGAAACAATGTGTTGGTTTGGTTGTGGTTTTTCCGTGTGTGCTTCATGGGGCAACATCCAAGAACCTGAGAATGCAGTTGAAAAGCCAATGAACCTGGCGCTGGCCGGGAGGGCCTGCCAAAAGCGCCATTCCTGAAAACTTGTAGTTGTTGTTTTCCTGGTGGTGTGACAAGGTTCCCCCCTTCCACCGCTTTTTGTAGTGCCACAGGTTTCGAGGAGCAACATCCAGGAAACCTGTGACAGTCATTGGGGAGCCACCGAATCCAGTGGGGAGCCGATCCGCCTCCGTGCCTCGAGCCTCTGGGGCACGGAGCGGGCGTGTCCTCCAGTCCTCTGCGTCACTCCTGGAGCCCAATCCTCAGCCTTGCAGAGTCTTCACAGAGCCCGGACTCCGATGCTCGAGATCTCCTGGGGCCCCCAGGAGGCTCCAAAACGGCCCCCAAGAGGCTTCAGGAGGCCCCCGCGAGGCCCCCAACGAGATCCCAGCGAACATCCAGTGGGCTTCATACCTAGCCCAGGCACGGTGGCGGGATGGGCCGAAGGCCAATCGATAATTTTGGTGAATCTCCCCAAGACAAAACGTCGCGCGAAGGAAAGGCCCTCCTCGTCCCCCTCCTCCTCCTCCTCCTACCCCTCTCTTGAATACGTTTCTTGTTGCGTTTGACTATGTGTACGTTCTCCTTTTCCCCGCCGGCATCCAGCCAAGCAACCAGAACGCATGTGTGTTCCTATGTATTTAACCAGCGCAAGGAAAACTCTATCATCCCCCCCCCCACACTGCGGTGTTGGGTCCTCGTTATGAAGAGACAGTGCCCCGCAATCATCTCCGCTCCCCTCCTCCTCCTCCTCCTCCTCCTCCTCCTCCACCCTCTCCTCCCTTCATCAGCTTCATCAGCATCATCAGCAGCATCTTCATCATCACCATCACCGCCATCATCATAATCATCATCATCATCATCATCATCATCATCATCGTCGTCATCATCACCATCACCATCATTATTAATAATATCACCATCGTCACCAGTATCATCAACAACATCATCATCAGCATCATCAGCATTATCATCAGCATCGCCATCATCATCATAAGCATAATCATCAGCATCATCATCATCGTCGTCATCATCATAATCATCACCAGCATCAACATCATCACCATCATCAGCATCATCAGCTTAATATTCATCATCGTCATAGTTATCATCACCATCGTTGGCATCATCATCACCATTGTCGCCGTCATCATCATCCACAACATCCTCATCACCATCCTCATCAACAGCATCATCACCATCATCATCATCACCAGCAGCATCATTATGATCATGATCATGATCATCATCATCATCAGCAGCAACAGCAGCATCATCATCACACGTTTCATGGCCCCACAGGGAGCTCCACCAAAGGCCACAGTGGCAGGGTTCGCATGGCGGCCCCGCCAAATTTCGGCACACCCTTCACACGTCTCCTGGCTCCAAAGGGAGCTCCACCAAAGGCCTCAGTGGCAGGGTTCGCATGGCGGCCCCGCGCCATTCTGCCACACCCCTCACACGCTTCGTGGCCCCAAATGAGATCCACCAAAGGCCAGGGTTCGCATGGCGGTCCGCCCCAACTTCAGCACACCCCTCGCACGTCTCGTGGCTCCAAAGGGAGCTCCACCGAAGGCCCCAGTGGCAGGGTTCGCATGGCGGCCCCGCACCATTTTGCCACACCCCTCACACTCGTAGCCCCACAGGGAGCCCTGCAGAAGGCCCCAGTGGCAGGCTTCGCATGGCGGTCCCGCCCAATTCCGGCACACCCCTTACACGCTTCGTGGCCCCTCAGGGAGCTACACCGAAGACGCAGTGGCAGGGTTCACAGGGCGCTCCCGCCACATTACGGCACGCCCCTCGCACGCTTCGTGGTGCCAAAGGAGCTCCACCGACGGCGCAGTGGCAGGTTTCGCAAGGCGTTCCCGCCCTATTTCGGTACACCTTCACACGTTTCGTAGCCCCAGAGGGAACTCCACCGAAAGCTGTATGCAGAAAGCGATACTGGCAGTCGCATACAGTTGGGCCCTTCGCCTGGAGATTCTTGAGCTGTCTTCATTTTTTCTCGAACCTTCACACGGAGCGTGGCCATCAGAGACAATTTCTGATTGTTGTGTTGTGCCACATGGTTCTTTTTGATTCCAACAGTGACTTCATTAGCCTGGCGAAGGACCCAACCATATGCAGTTGTGAGTACCGTCTTTGTGAACAACGCATTCGGTGGGGCTCCCTATGGGGCCACGAAATGCTGCCCTGGGCGGGGAGACGCATGCGAATGCAGCCACTGGGGCCTTCGGTGGAGCTCCCCATGGGTCCACGAAGCGCTGTACTGGGTGGCGCGGACGCATGCGAACCCTGCCATTGGGGCCTTCGGTGGAGCTCCCTATGAGGCCAAGAGCCGTGTGAGGGGCGTGCCGATGTGTGGCGGGTACGCGACACGGAAGAAGACGATTGGTCTAATAACGATAGCCTGAGAGC